ACTAGAACATATGAGATATCAAAATACAGGGAAGAGTCCGCCAGGATTGCGTGCTTTCACTACTACTCTTCAATGTCTACAATGAAGCGTTAATAAAGAAGCGTTCTGAGATTCAATAGAAGGTATATCTATCAATGGAGAAGTTTTAAATATATTGCGTTTTGCAGACGATACAGTAATAATGATGGATACCAACAATTATTTATAGAACGTACTGCAACGCCCTAATGAATTCTGTCATGAATACGGACTACCGATGAATTTGAAAAAACTAATTGCATGATCATGACAAATCAGCAGATGAAAACATCCAATCGATTGTTGAAAATATTGTAATTAAGAATGTAGATACCTACAAATACTTACAAATATGGATGACTTTAAATGCAGACTTAACCAAAGAAACTAAGACACGTATTAAAATAGTACGTGCATGATTCGTTAAACTTAAAAAGTTTCTTTGTTGTCGGGATGTAAGGTTAGGACTACACCTAAGAATGCTCAGTGTTACGTATACACCACTCTTTCTTATGATTTGAAAGCATAGATATTAAAATAGGTGCATCTATATAAGTTGGCCGCCTTTGAATTTAGGTGCTGTAACCGATTCAAAAGTTTCAAATTATTTTTCAAAGTTTTAAGAATGTATATGTTTTAATAATTCCTAGTAAATATTCAAATCAATGTTGCTCACGTCATCTATCCGCCGAACGCATCTAAATTTCGTCAAGTATCTAACTGTAGTTTCTAATAGCTCCGACTTTGGTCTCAGAATCCAAGCGTTCGTCAACTCCCCGAAATCCATCGTTCTTTTATCTCTTTGATCGTCCACTAGACAAGACGAAATTTTATTTGAGTGGTCTTTTAACGAGGTAAGCCGACAAATTCCTTTTTTTTTTGTTATATTTTAAATAAATATTTATTTTGGACCCTTACCGGGAGCACTAATAGTTATAGTAATAAACCAGAATGTAAAGTTGGCCGTGAAACCCTCAACAATTCGAAAAATTACCATTGTTTGGTATAAGTCCTTTTTGTGGAATATCCCGTTTGCTTAGCCGATCAATTCTATATATTTCTATCCTTGTGCGATCGGTACTCACCAGATGGACCGCAGACGTTCGGATACAATTAGCGTCTCTTAGCAAGACAATGACGTCGACTTTGCTAAGTATCAAGACAATTACTCTACATACACACACACACACACACACACACACACACACACACACACACACACACACACACACTACACTACACTACACTAGGTACCTGACTGTACTATGCCAATGATCATAGTTGTCGAGGCATTAACCCAATAAAAAAAAATTCTATATATTTTTATTGTGGATATGTTTTTGCTGCCAATAAATTTAACGTTCCGAAATCCCAGCCTGTGTACCTAGTTGGTAAAAATTATATTCTTTCTACAAGCCACACAAGCATTTGGGCAATTCAGGTTGTACCAATTTTATCTTTCTTTATTGAAAAATGAAGATTATCTATAAACTAAATATTATTGAGGTGGTTTATTATTTTAATTACATTATGTCTTTATTACATAATTATGTCTTACAATTATATCTTTTAATTACATAAATACCTACATATTATAAAAATATCTTCCATAATATAATATAGTATATATAATAGAACTATATAATAAAACTTTTTTATGTGAACGAATTCCGAAATTTTTGATACAGTATGATTTTATTTCCATAAGTATTTCTCATTCGTAATCTATTGCCAAGATATAAAATGTTTGTTTTCTTAATAAATGATTTTAAGTTTAGTTTCGTATAAGCACTTCTCATTTGTAATTTAATACCTAAATAGAGACTGTTCAGTATTTTTTTTTTTGGATTGACCTAATCCTCCTAGAATATTTTAATAACTGTTTATTCATTACAAAATATTAAAGGTTAGCGAAAAAGAAAAATCATACGATTGCTACCTAGCGAAATCAAATTCAAATTTTTACCACTGTGCTTTCTAAAACTTGCAAAGCGAACAGCTTGATAAATTACTCGGCAAGGGAATCTAAGATTGCATTCCACATGCCGTTCACCATGGTCAAAATTCGTAGTGAATTCAATTTCTGGTACTTTAAACGGAGTAAAGAAATAAAATATAAAGACGGTACTAGATTTTTGTTTCAATACAGAGCGGCAGCAAGCCGCTTATACGTATAAGTATACGTATTCTTGCCAGGTAGAAATCGTATGATTTCTCTTTTTGTTATTAGATGGCGTAGTTACGTCCGTATATAGTTATTTTGATAACTATTGTCTAAGACGAGAATATATTTTGTTTCGATACAGAGAAGTGGCTATATCGCTCTGAAAAACCAAACAGGTCGAAATACGTATAGGAGTCCTTGCTGCCGCTATGTATTGAAACAAAATTCTAGTCTCGTCTTTATACTTTATTTCTTTACTCCGTTTGGTATTGAATTAACTACGAATTTTAACCATGATGAACGGCATGTGGAATACAATTATCAAGCTTTGTTTTAAATTTTATATTTTATTTCATTGTCTGAGCTCGATTCCTTACGAGGGTAAACTATTAAAATATGGTGCTCAATTTATTTTTAACAAAAGAAGAAAACTTGAGAACTAAGGCCATATTATGAGAGGCAAAGAAACTCATTATTACAGCTATTATTATGGGCAAAATATATTTTGCAAGGCAAAATTCGAGGAACGCAAAATGTGGGACGACGAAAAATATTGTGGCTTAAGAACTTGAGAAAATGGTTTGAATGCAGTAGTGCAGAACTATTTAGAGCGGCAGTCAACAGGATAAATAACATAACCATAATGATTTCCAACCTTCGATAGAATATAGAACTTAAAGATGAAGTGTAAGTCGGCTCGAAAATATAAAAGTTTATGTGAACCTGTAAGACAGAACATATATAAATATTGGTTTTTAGTAGTGTGAAACACATAAATATTCAACATCGATATACTCAAGATCAGTTTTCACGAATTCTTGGATGTTTCTAAATCGTTTTTCATCTAAAAATAACATCATTATGGACGACATTTTTTTATCCTCAATCAGTACTGAAAATGAAACGATGGACGATATTAAAAACAGAGACAAATTACTAAAATTATAAAAAAAAACAGGAAAGATTAGTAAAATAAAGACTTTGAGTATAACTTCATACGAGTACGTCATAAAATATAGAGAAATTCTAGGTAAATTCGTTATTGAAATAGTATTTGTAACAGTTACTATTTATAAGAAAATAGGTTGATTAAATTTAAAAGTTTCTTAAAATTTTTGTGAGGTACGTTAGCACTTGTTCGAGATTGAACACGACTTGCACACCCATCTCATAACATTTTGTCTCATTGTTACTTAGATACTGATATTGCCAAGCTTTTTAGTGCGTCCATATAAATTATCTTTCTAAGAGGGTGTATGTAATTTTAATCTTTAAAGTAGGGTATTACTATCTCTTAAAAATAAAAGGTAATCTCTTTAAGAGAAACTACTCTTGTAATCCATATTATCCATGATATTTAGATCTAACATTTTAAATAAGTACAGTAGATTAAAGTGACAAAAATAATATATAAAAAACAACTGACTCATTCATCATCAACATCACTTCTGAAATAGATCATCGGGTTTCCAGGTATTTTTCGTCATTTAGATCCATCTGCTGACAACAGCTACCAGTTTACGGCATTCATTTTCCTATTAACCTCATTCTCCTATTTACGTTTTGGCCTATCTCTACGTATATTTACCTCTGGCTGTGATAAACAATTGGCCAGGAAAGGTTTTTTGTATATTCTGATCATGCTAGACGTCTTATCTCGATGTTTCTATTTTTATGAGGGATATTAAGAGATTTTCATCTGATAATTAGTTGTGTCTGTTACATATTTCATGGTTGCTTCTCGTCCTCCAAATACCAATTACCCAGAATTCACAAATATTTTTCTCGGGATTTTTCGTTCAAAGATTAGTAACGGGTTTTGTCTAATTTTAGAGACGATTCATATTATGGATTCATATGTCATCAATAGTAAAATAAGAGAGTTTTATTTTTTATATTTCTTTTCTTTCATACGTTCTTATTTTTTAGCTGTTTATTTAACCAAACGTAGCATTTGTTTGCTAGAATCATCCCCCGTTTAATTTATTCTAGCTCAAAGCTAGAATTGCTGACGGTGAGAGTATGATCATTTTGTCTGGCTCTGCTGTTGGATGATGATGATTTTTTTATTTGTAGCTCTCTATTTCTAGAGGGATTTGCAAAGTACTAAACATTTATTTGTTTTATATGGGTCGTTTAAAACAAATAACCTGTATAGGCCATAATTTGCAAGGAATTATTAAAAATTATTCCCATATTGTCTAATCTGTCGTATTACGACGATGTATTTCAAGCTTTTGTTAACTTAGTCCTGTATTTTGTAATTTACAATTAACTTTATGAATTAAATAGTTGTTTTAATTAGTGCAGGTGTTAATATTTTATATATTTAGATTTTTTAGTTGATGGATTGATTTTGAAAGTTATTTGACATAAATTTGAACTTGTACTTCTCAGTAAATTATTACTACCAAAGATATGTGGAAATTTCTGATGCTGTTTCAACTCATTATTTATAGCTTTCTCTTATAGCTCTTACTATTTTATATTCTTAATAGCCACGTATTGCCAGTGCTGTGAATAGAAGTGATTGTAGTTGTTTTGGTGTCATTGGCTGGAGACTTATTAGCAAGTAAAAACCAACTTCTGCGAGGGATTTTTAAGTAGATTTGTGGTCATAATAATTTATATACATATTCTATAGTAGTTTCATTGCATTTCTTTATAAAGAAGTAACTATACTTCATCATAATGGTATATATTTATCGCTAATAAAACATTAAACATTTTTTCATTATTATATATTTCTTGCAGATAATTTACAAATAATATTTGTACTTTGTTTTATATTCGTATTTCTTGTTTTATAATCGATTAGGAGATGGAAGATCAACAAAAAGCAACGTTCAGACCCATAGTTCTTCCCGGGGGGAGAAAGTGGATAGATCCTGATGATGTCGTACCGACTAGAAAACCCAAAATGACTGATGAAAAGATAATGGAGACTATAGACAGTAATTTGGAGGTCATTGCAGGAAAAAGAAAAGGGTAGGCAAAATTTTTAGTTTAATCTCATTTATTTGGCGTATTTTTAGGTTAACCAGTGGAACTGCAGTTGGCCATGGTCAGATTCATCTAAGCCAGTCTACAGGTATATTTTAGAACCATTATTTCAAAAAAATCAGTGTTTGTTTTCACGTATAGAATGTGATGCCCTTTGGAAATAATTTTAATATTTTTTATTCCTTTTAATATTAATTTTAATTACCTATTTTTCTGGGAGTTATTATTTAAGTAGTTTTTTTTAACTGAACAAGCAGTGCTCTATCTGGAATGAACTAAAAATATCGAAAACGTTTTTGGAGGTATTTGTCAGATTAATATATCATTAAACAATTTCCTTTACATATTTCAGTGCAAGGTACGAGGTAATAGCTGAAGAAACAAACCAAAGATCAAGTGTCGAGTATTTGTCTTTTACTACCGAATTTTTGCATAACTTGGTCTTATTTCGTAGTATTCTTATTTATCGTTTTGGTCTTAGCTTTTTTCTGTTCTATAAGTAATGGTTAAAATAATTGTATACGTATTAATGTGCAATAAAAATTAATAGGCTGTTACCCATTAAGATACTGTTCTTAATATTAGCCTGTTTGGTTATTTTGGTTTCTGAAAAAGTTGTTTAATACTGCATTTAGTTAATTAATTGTAACGAAGCTCTGGCTACATTAGATTTTAACCTAGTAACAGTAAATTTCTTGCTAGCTTTTTTGAATGCGCTGACAGTTGATCCTCGTATTGTTTTGCTTGGACGAGATTTTTTCCTAATAGAAATCACTTCAAAATCTTCATTTATGACGTTGTTGGTGTTATTTATTAGCCAATGTAGATATCTAAATTTGTGACCTAATTGCTTTTCTTTTAAAAAATATTAAAAGCAGTTTTTCGCCAGGTAGATAACGAAGTACTTTATATCTTCTTTCTGTAGCGGGACATTTCTTTCTAGTTAGGATAGTGCTGTGATAACACTAAATACTATGAATTAGTTTTTAAAAAACAGTAGAATGTCCAAAAAAAAGCATAAAAATAAACTCTTATCCAACAAATGATACTCTAAGGACTCTAACTACTAAACAAACTAACCAGAGAAGGAAATGATATCGGCCTAAATGAACACAACTTAAACTTAGATCAATCTCATACTTCGAAACTTCAACTTGCAGACAAGCATAACCTTCTACGACAAGCGAATAGAGTAAGTGATAAAATGAACATACTTATGCTGCTGAATAACCGAATACCTAGACTCAGACCAGCAAGAGCAACTTTCCTAAAGAAGATACGGCCTGAGCGGCCGTAGCTTAAGATTTTTCAGATGTTACATAATACTCTTGTCTTATTTTATGTAGTAATTTCAACCATCAAAATCGGTAAAATAAATTGCATTGAGACATTCGAAATGTGGAAAAACCAATGTATGCTTAGAATATTTTGGGTAGATCACGTAACAAATGACAAAGTTTTAAGAAGAATGATAAGAGACTTCCCTACAATTCCCTATAGAAGTTTGGCTTGACTTGTTAAAATTTCTATAATTTTGTAATGATATTTAACTATAAATTTTATGTCTAACAATTTATTTTTAGAATTGAGTATTAATTATTATATTATTTAATGAGAGGATAAGTAGTCTTACTAGAGAGTGTCATTACTTTTCATAATATTTAACGTTTCGTCTATAGGAATGTTTGTAAAAAGGGACATATCGAAATTTACTAAAATGTCTTATGGTGAGGTAGGATATAGTTTAAGAAGTTTGATAAAATAAAAATTTTTGACGAGCGATGAGAATTCTCGACAAAAGGTTGTATGATGTGTTGTAGGTTATAGGCAATGGTAATATAAATATACGTCAGCTGGGTGCACTGAAAATGAGACGTAAAGGTATATCGGTTTTATGGATTTTAGCAGGACCCTTAAGATAGCGGGAACAAATGAGCGGAATCCAATTTAACCTATGTAATATTTTTTTCACCCATTTTTTCACTTATATATTACCACCCTAATAATTTTTCACCACCAAACCAACCTAAAGGGGAGCGATTCTGCTGGCTTAAGGTTCAATCTAGCAGAATTCGGAAAAAAAAACTTTTTGTCTATGGCATATTTTTTCACCCATTTTTCACTAATTTATTACCACACTAATAATTGTTCACCACTAAACCACCCTTAAGGGCAGCGATTTTGCTGCTGAGGTTAAAACTAGTAGAATTCTAAAATGAATATTTATGATATACCAGAGAGTGCTCTGCTAGGTTTTTATGAATTTATTACCACTTTAGAAATTTTTCACCCTTTAACTACCTCTGATGGAAGGTCAATAATTCTGTTAAATTAAAATTTAAGGGAAAATTTAGGAAAAAAAGGAAATTAATTCACACACGGCTACCTAATGTCCTCTAGCATCCGTCCCTCCTGTGGGACCTGATCTCTTCGCTCAGGTCTATGGATGTACCCAATAAACACAAATCTTTTAATCTTTTAACAATAGGTGCTAAGGTGTCCCGACCCTCCTTTACAATTAGGGATTTAATATATAATGTAAGCATTTTCTTCTTCAAGTGCCGTCTCCATCAATGAAGGTTAGCGGTTATGGTGGCAAACGTTTGTCTATCTTCAGCTGCTCTTAAGAGTTCCTCAAATCCAAGTCATGTCCAGTTTCTGATATTACGTAACCAGGACAATTTTTTTCTTCCAATTCCTCGCTTTCCTTCTATTTTGCCTTTTATTATCAACTGAGGGATGTAGTATTTCTCGTTGCGCAACAAATGCCCTAAATAACTGGTTTTTCTTCTTTTGACTGTTCTCAATAGTTCTTTTTTCTAAATTGAGGCATAATAAAATTATTTCAATTCTAATATTTCTTACCTGGTAATTATTCTGTGAAATATAACAATTTCATTGAATTAACTAAAACTCAACTTGATTTCAGTTATTTTATACTAATAAAAGGGACTTTGATTCGATCTCCCTTAGCTATGTACTCACTACTATTATTAGTCATTTTAAACTTTTTAAAATAGTTTAAATTTATCATTTTTGTAATAAAGTATTTTTATATTTCCTATATTTAAACATTAAAAAATAAATATTAGTTAGCACAGAGTAATATTTTAGAATGATTTTAATTAGGGTAGTTGAGAAAACAATGACTAGGCTGGTAAAAATATAGTAAAAATCTAGCAGAGCACTTTTGTATTTCCAACAATATTTTGCATTTAGCTAGTGTGAATGCGTAGCTTGTTGTTGCATGGTGTGAATGTTTCCTATTAACTGTGGCTTAGGGGGTCAAAAATATGAGGGTGGATAAAATTCACCTGGCAAGCAATTTATACTTTCAGTTACGAGAAGAGTACAGTAGAATTATAAAAATAGATTTTTTTTATCACCTTAATAACCCAACAGAATTATTGACTATATATGACTAATCGTAAGGAGTAGTTGATAGGTGTAATAAGTCCTAGTGTGGTAATAAATTCATAAAAACCTAGCAGAGCACTGTGGTACACATATCATATTTTTTTTTAAATTCTACTAGTTTTCTCTAGCAAAATCGCTCCCCTTAAGGTTGGTTTGATGGTGAAAAATTATTAAGGGTGGTAATAAATTAGTGAAAAATGGGTAAAAACATATTACGTCTTCTCCAGACACCATTTTCATTTACCGCTCCATAGATTCGCCTTAGTATTTTTCTTTCAAAACATCCTTACATGTTTTCATTGCTTTTTGTTATAAAGTCCAGGTTTCTGAACCATATGTTAGGATTGGGCATATTAAACCTTGGAGCATGGATCACAGAAGATACTGATCAGACAAAAGAAATAAGATGCCGCATTGAAATTGCGCGGTTAATTTTTAATAGAATGAGAAAACTTTTTTGTAATCGCGATATCAATATATCGCTCCGGATAAGAATGCTTCGATGTTATATTTTCTCTACCCTTTTGCATGGAGTTGAAGCTTGGATACTTAAAAAGTCCAACATTAAAAACCTAGAAGCATTCGAAATGTGGTGTTACCGACGTATTTTGAAAATATCATGGATGGATCGCAAAACAAACGAACAAGTTCTCGAACAACTAGGAAACCAATACGAAGTTTTAAATTCCATAAAAATCAGAAAATTGGAATACTTGGGGCACATAATGAGAGGTGAAAAGTACGAACTACTAAGGAATATAATGCAGGGTAAAATCAAAGATAGAAGAAGCGTAGGAAGACGTAAAATCTCGTGGCTACGCAATCTCCGTGAATGGTTTGGATGCAGTTCAATTGAACTATTCAGGCGAGTAACCAATAAAATTATAATTCCAAGATTGATTTCCAATCTCCGATAGGAGTGAAACTTGAAGAAGAAGAAGAAGCCGTGCAAATTCTGCGGCTTATCTCTGCGGCAGTGTCATTTTCAGTATTAGCGAGCGTTCCCAGGTATACAAATTCGTTAACTGCTTCGATGACGTCGTTTTCTATAACAAGTGATCGTAGTATTTGTGGTTGCGTACCTATTTTCATGTATTTCGTTTTATTGGTGTTTATTATTAAACATATTTTTGTACCCGCTTCCTTTAGTGCTACGTACGCCTCTCGTGCTGCGTCTCCCGTTCTATTATATTCGCTTTGCATATGGTGCCATTCGAGGGTATAGTATATTGGAGAATAGTTTATACGCTGCATTTAGGAGCGTAATTCCTCGATAGTTAGAGCATCCAAAGATATCTCCCTTTTTGTGTATAGTGCAAAATATTTCAATATTCCAATTACTGGAAAGGGACTTTTTTATCCATATTTCTTTTATAAGCTGCTGCAGCGCTGTTATGATATCGTGGCCACCTTCTTTATATAATTCCGCTGGGAGATTATCTATTCCGGGTGATTTGTTTCTGGCTAGTTTGTTTACAGCGTCTTTAACTTTCAGGATCGTTCTCCCTCTCGTCTGTTCCGCTTAGCTCACAGCTTTCGTCTTCCGGGTTTTCTTCTTTTTCCTCTATATTAAGTATCTGGTTAAAATATTCCGTCCACCGATTTAGTATGTCTATTCTTGTTGTTAATAGATCGCCATTCAAACTTCTACATTGATTTGTGTTTTCCTTGAATTCTTTTCTGTTGATGTTAACTGTCTTATAGAATGTTCTGAATTCTTTCTCTCTGTTGAGGTTTTCTATATATTGAAGTTCCTTCAAACTTGACTTCCTGAAAGTGGTGTCGTTTCTTCATTCTGTGTATTTTCTTTTCTTCTCTTCCCTTTGTCTGGTAATTCTCTACACTTATTGTAGTTCGGCGGGTAAGCATTTTTGAATAGGCTTCATTTTTTTTCTTTGCATTCATCGTCAAACCAGTGATTTTTTGGGTACAAGTTTCTCTTCCTGTTTCGTTTTGTGCTGCTGACTCAATATCTTCCTTTATCCTCTTCCAGTAAGAGTCTGTCTTAAAAGTATACACAATGTTTTAAAAAAGTTACTGGACAAGTAGTGTAAAGGATAAATTTGATATGCAATAAGAAGAATGGTCATACTTAAAAAATAAAATATTGGAAATTGTTCCTGGAGACATTAAAGCAAGAAGTTAAAAAAAAATTAATATCAAGAATAAAAATAAAAATAATTTCAATACATCCCCCTATATACAAATTGATTATAATTCCCTTGTTTTTATCTTAATATCGAATTGGCTTCTCTAATTATATATCTTAATGTGTTTCTATCTTAAATTATACCAATATTGATCTACTTCCCAGATATATCCCACATTATCCGTTTTTGACCTTTTTCTCTCACTCTTACCAGGAACCTGAGACACACCAATTCGCACTGAATAATCATTTCGGCGCTGAACATTATATCTAACTAAAATTATGCTCATTTTAGCATCAACTGGTACATACTGAAAATAACTCAATATTCATTTTGAATTTCAATGATATTATAGATTTTTTTTACTTTCACTTCCACACTTCTCTAGGGATATCGTTTTTTTTTTTCAAATAATTGAAATTTTTGATAATTTTCTCGTTTACTTTAAATAAAGTTGCAGTATATTTCCTAGGATATATTATAAGAAAGGTCTTGGAAGGGTGGAGAGGCGAAAAAAACAATAGGTGACTAAAGAACAACAAAACTTATATATATATATATATATACCGTAGATACCATAATAGCTTGCTCAGAAGATGAACTGGTTTAAATAATGAAAAAGTTATACCGTTAGCAGAGAACACAGTCATATGCTAAACAAAAATAAGACTAAAATCAGGATAATATATTGCAATTAATATAACTCCAAAAGGTTGGTCTTCTTCTTCTTCTTCTTCTTCTTTTTATATAGACATGACTGTCTATTTTTCAATGTGCCTCCAGTAAGTTGTCATTCCATTGTTTTCGTGGTCTTCCTACTGATCGTCTTCCTATTGGAGAACCGTCTCTTGCCGTTTTTAATACTCTATTTGTTGTCATTCGGCTTATATAATCGTTCCATTCTATTATTCTATTTCTTACCCAGTTTTTGATGTTATTCACCTTGCAATGTCGTATATATGTAGTTCTAGCTCTGTCCCCTAGTGTATTACCATCAAGTTCGCTAAGTGTTTTCATCTCTGCTGTTTCTAATATCCTTTTCGTCCTCTCTGTGTCAGGTCTTGTTTCTGCCGCATATGTCATTATTGGTCTGTTGACTGTTTTGTAAATTCTATCTTTCGTTTCTTTCCCGATATTTTTATTTCTCCATATTGTTTCATTTAGGCAGCCTGCGTCTCTGTTTGCTCTATTCACTTGATCTTCCACTTCGGTGTCGAACTTTCCGTAGCTAGAAAATGTGATGCCTAGATATTTAAACTCCATCACTTCTTCTATTATCTGACCATCTAGCTCCAATTTACATCTTAGTAAATTTGCTGTTGTACCCATGTATTTTGTCTTTGTTGGGGAAATTAACATGTTAAATTTTTTAGCGGTTATATTAAACTGATGCAGCATACGTTGTAAATCATCTTCACTTTGAGCGAGTAGTATTGCGTCGTCTGCATAGCAGATTATTTTAAGTTGTTTTTCTCCCATTTGGCATCCTTTTTTTGTTCTTACTTTTTTTTATTATTTCATTCATAATCAGGTTGAACAATAGAGGACTCAAGGAATCCCCCTGTCTTATCCCATTTCCAGCATCAATAGGGTCAGTTAGTTCTTCTTCTACATTTACTTTTATTGTATTGTTTTGGTAGATATTTTCGATCGTTTTGATTACTCCAAGGGGTATCTCTCTTGCATACAGCAAGTGGATAATATATTTTAATTTGACCCGTTCAAATGCCTGTGTAAGGTCCACGAAACATATATATGCCGGTTTGTTGTACTCTAATGATTTCTTTTGCACTTGCCTTATTATAAATATAGCGTCGGTGCATGATCTTCCCCACTTAAAACCTTGTTGTTCTTCTGCTAGTGTTTATAATTTTATTCAGTTTATTTGCTATTACTTTGGTTGTTAATTTTAGTGTTGTGTTTATAAAATTGATTTCTCTGTAATTTTCCGGGTCCGCTTTGTCTCCCTTTTTGAAGATAGGTATTAGGATGCTTGATCTCCATTCTTGGGGAATTCTGTTTTGTTCTAATATTTTTTGAATTAGTTTTAATAGTTGTTAGGTCATATTTGTTCCTCCGTACTTTAGGAGTTCGTTCGGTATTCTGTCCTCTCCTGGTGATTTTCTATTTTTTAATTTCTTTAATGCTTCTTTACCTCTTCCCCCTCAATATTTATTTCTTCGTTTGTCGTCACATCTGGTGTTGGTGATTATCGTCACCTTTAGCAAACAGGGATCGAAAGAAGTCTACCCATGTTTCCTTCTGAATGTGTTTCGCTTTTATTAGTTCGGTCATCTCTTTTCTTTGCCCTATTTTGTGTTCCGTAGAAATAGTGTTCCATCTGTTCTGAGAAAGTCTGCCAGTGTTTCTTTTTTTTTTTGTCTAATTAAGGTAATCGTTTTATTTCTGATTCGTTTATAGTGGTTGTATGCCTGTTATGTTTATTGTGTTCTGTATTGTAAAATGGCTTTCTTCTTTTCTTTACATTTTTTCTTCACTTTCTCTTTAAATCATGTTTTTTTCTATTTTGATATGTTAGTGTTCGTTACTTTGCTCTCTCCAAGTGATTCTGTTGCCGCGTTAATTATATTATTTTTCAGTTTTTCTAAGCTCTCCTTGATGTTATCGTTTTCTAATATTTCATTCCCAGCGATCTTCTCGAATATTCTTTTCGTGTATAAGTTTTCCGTCGATTCCATATTTAGTCCCTCGACTTTTATTTTTTTTGTGTTGGCTCCGCTCTCTGGGATGGGAAGTATTTTAGGATTATTCTTATTTTACATAATACTAGACTATGGTCTCTACCTACATTTGCTGAGTTGAGGCATCTTACGTCGATTATTTTTGATGGATGTATATCTCCGTTGGTTATAACATAATCTATCATAGATCTTTGTTCACTCGTGTTATTAAATGTATATTTGTGTTGGTTTTTGTGGTCAAAAAATTTTTGTTTATTCTTAGTTCGATATTCGTGCAGAAGTTGATCATCAGTTCTCCATTTTCGTTTTTAACATTCTCGTTATGTTTTTGGTTGATGCCGGGTATTACTTGGTTGCCTATTCGAGCGTTAAAATTCCCCCAATGTTATTATATTTCCTTTGACTTGATCTACTACTTGTTGTAATTGGTCGTAAAACGCTTCCTTTGTTGTTTGAGGCTTATTATCTTCTGGACCGTATACACCAATGATGTTCAGGTCTTCCTTCTCCATTCTTATCTTTGCTGTTACTATTCTTTCTGATATGTATTAACACTCTTTGATGTGATTTTGGTACCTTTGGTGTCTTAGTAAGGCTACACCTTCTTTGGCCCTGTTTTCTTTTGCTACTCCACTGTAAATTAGTATGTATTCACCTAATTTTATTTGACCTTTCCCTTTCTTTTTTGTTTTCAGTAGAGCACAAATGTCTATTTCTTTCTCTTTCAGTACTTGGGTTATTTCTTGGTGCCTTGAGTTGAGTGATCTGATATTCCAAGTAGTAATTCTCATCTGGGTTTTGGATGTTTTTCGCTTGTCCTTATTTCTTGTTGTAGTCGTCTTCATAGTATCAAGCAGTATTTGTTTTTACGACTGGTAGGTTGCTAAACTTGTCAATCACCCTCCACATTTTATCCGGGCTTGGGACCGGCTGTGGTAACCGCAGAGCTACTCAATCCACCCCGCAATCACCCCAGGTAGTATTGGGTGGTCAAGTAACACGTGATGCAACCTATTCCCAAAACTCGTTCATGCGAAGATTTAGCAATATTTTAACAAAACGAACAAAATAATTTTTCCTACTGCAACATATGCATCTGAGATATGTACATTAAAGGTCCCCAATCAAAGAAAATAGATTCCTTCTATCGTACACCAATCATAGCACCAACTTTTTAATTAAAAAACAACTAAACGTCTACACAAGATTGTCGACAACAATAAATCAGTCAGAATTCATATTCAAAAATTATCATTCAGGGTAAACTTAATGGCAAACAACCACGAGGAAAACCACACGTCTTCTACATGCTAGAGTGAATTAAGTTAAAGGAATTATTGACCATAGTTCACACGAAGCTTTTCTAGCGGCCCACACAAAGAGTAATGGAGAACCATGATACAAACGATCGAGACATAATGTCATTACTCTTTAGAGAGCCTATATATATATATATATATATATATAATATATATATATATATATAATATATATATATATATATATATATAAACCTGCGGTGGTCTTTCATAATTTATATAAACTTTTATTTGTCGAATGTTATAATTAATAATTTTCAGGATTAACTTTATGAAATATACCCCACCTCCAAAGAAATTGGACCATTTGCAAAACTCTGAAGTATACCGCCTCATCCATGGCATGGAACCACCTACTAGAGGTATAACAACACGACCTGAGAAGATATTGCCAGAACAAGATTATTATCAGGTAAATAATTTAGTACAAAAGTAGGTATCTTACACCGTATATTTCTATTTTTTGTAAATATGTTAAATCTTTAAAATACTCTCATTAAATACAATTCTTAATTATAATTGAATACCATGTAAAATTATTATATTAGCATTTCTTTTTATTTTTTATGTAGACATGACACTATCTGTTTTTCAATGTGCCTCCAGTACCATCGTTTTCGTGGTCATCCTACTAATCGTCTTCCCATAAGAGAATCGTCCTTTACTGTCTTTACTACTCTATTTGTTGTCATTTGGCTTATATGATCGTTCCATCCTACTCTTCTACTTCTTACCAAGTCCTTGATGTACTTCTATCTTCGTTCCATAGTATTTTACCATTAATTTTAAGTGTTTCATCTCTGCTTGTAACATCCTTTCCTCTCTGTGTCAGGTCGTGTTTTTGCGGCGTATATCATTATTGGTCTGATGACTGTTTTGTAAGTTCTGCCTTTCATTTTTTTCCGATATTTGGTATTGATAAAAACCATTATTTTGACGACGTTTCCAGTAGCCTTTCTCGCTGATGCTTGAAGTTAACTCATTCTCGTGGTCGCTGCGTTTACTTTTTATAGTCGCAAGGCTTCTTGTGATTGGTCCTGTCCATGTGTAGGTATGCGGGGTTCTACCAGAAAACTACGAACAGTTCTCTGGTTCTACTAGTCGGTCTTGTGGTCTGATGTATTTTAGACTTTTTCTTTAATACCGGTCTCCATGCTGTTGGAAGACTTTGAGCATCATCTTCTTGGCTTAGACTGTTTTTTTCCTATTTCTATTAATTCTTTGATTTCGCGTTTTCTTGAATTTTAAATGTTAGCTAGCATCGTAGTTTGGTTCAGGTTTATTGTCCAGTATGTCACTCCTGTCAGTCCTGTTCAGTATGTCCTGTGTTTGGCCCAACGTGTGTCAAACATGAGCTTTTATTCCTATAATACATCTAAAGTTTAATCTAGAAAAACACAAACTTTAACATTCTTTAAGCAGAGAAAAGACGTTGAAATAAAAGGAGACGATTGCGTTTCTTTTCAATTCGAGCTCCACCATTCTTCTACACGCGTTTAGAGATTTCTTCTCTCATTAGGAAGATTTCTTGTAGTTTGAATACTTCATTGTCGCGTTGGGTTTTTCTTTCTTGTTGTTGTTTCTTTTTTGGTGTTGGTTTTGGCATCCTGTTTTAGGCTGTTTGCCTCTTCAGGATGTGGTTTTTTGTTTTTTGGTGGTTGGCTGCTGATCTGTTTTTCGTTGATCCACTGGTGTAGCTGAACAGGGACAATCAGTGGCGAAAGGCTTAGGTCAGTTCTTTTCAGAATTGTTTGTCTAAAATAAATTAGTATATTAGTGATTATTAAATTAGTAAATGTAGAAATGAGATATTAATATATGTATAATTACATGCATTAATATATTAATGAATTAGTAAATATGTTATTATAGTAAATAAGAACGCGGCGCGAGAGGGCAGCTGCGGCTGTATCCTCACAATAGACAGGTATCATTTGTAAGTGGGATCGGAAACCGTAGAAAACCGATCCCCCCCTGTCTAGGCAAGCTCGAAGTGAGCAATTTAACTAGGAATGCGACGAAAATAGAGGGGAGTTGCCTCCTGTATGTCAATGTATTCATCAGGGAGTTCGTTACTGGCAAGTTCCAGTAGAATGACGGGTAGGTGTGGGAGTTTAGGTTAGGATGTCTGGTGAATACATTGCCGCGGGATGAGCAGACAGTTTTTAGAGTGCGTTGGGCTCTGAGGTTTTGGCACTGGATTGTGCGTATAGTGTAACTTCTGCTCAGAGAGTGTAGTCTCTCATTTATGGGCTGGATATTAGATAGTTGATGAATAAGGGCGGAGGGGTAGTCGCAACGTTTACCGTTTACTCTACGCAGAATTGACCTCTCTATTCTAAGTAAATTTTCTTTTACAACTTTTGGCAAAGTAGCGTAAATGTTTTATCTGTATTCAAAAATAGGTCTTATGAATGCTTTGTAAGTGAAAATTAGTGTGCGAGGGTGTGCGGCCCCGAAATTACATCTCAAACCATTGAGGAGACCAAGTCTGCTCCTAGCCTTGTTACAGGCTATGTTCAGATCAGCCCTTTAGTTCAGTGTTCGGGTGAACACCACACCGAGGTACTCGATCTAATCACGGAGCTGAAGTCGGTCACCCCAAAGCGTGAGATAGTTTCTTTCGTTAAAGGAGGCGGCACGTACGCTGTGTTTTTGGGTGTCTGAAGAGAGTCATTTGAGTTTTGTTCGGATTCAGTGACACTCTCCATCTCCTGCGCCAGTTTTTAACTAGTCTAAGGTGATTTTGAGCGTACCGAAGAACAGAATCAACGTCTCTCGCTGTAGTTACTAGAGCGGTGTCATCCGCGTAGAGCAAAGTGGTAGTATTGGTGTATGTAGGGTTAGGAAAGTCGCTATTGTATATTGTGTATAGTATGGGAGCCAGTACAGAGCCTTGAGGTACTCTAGCTGTAGGAGTAAAGGAATCTGAGAAATGACCCCGTTCCTTAACACTGACACGACGTCCAGAGACGTAAGATTGGATTAGTCTGACGAATGTAAGTGGTAGACCCATGTTCAGTAGTTTCTTGACCAGCCCCACATGCCAGACTTGGTCAAAAGGCTTTTTGAACATCGAGAAAGATACCTAGTGAAAGTTTGCTGTCGTTCAGACTTTGTGATATATGTGTGACGATTTCTGTCAATGCCGTATTTGTGGAACACCCTTCTCTAAAGCCGAATTGAAAAGAGGGAATGATGTTGTGTTCGTTAGTAAGGTCAATGAGTCTTTCTTTAAGGATTCTCTCAAAGACTTTAGCTAGTACATTTGTGAGTGAAATCGGCCGTAAGAGTTAGGATCTGTGCGGGGTTTGCCCTCTTTAAGAGCATAATTGTATTTGCTACTTTCCAATGAGATGGAAAATAGCAGAGTTTGAGAGTGGCATTGAAAATATTTGTTAAGTAAAGATAGACTGATAGATTAATTGTAGTTGATTGATAGATAGATTGTAGTTTGAATTGAACTAAAATGCTATTTGTATATACGGCTATTATAGTAACAATAAAATGTCAGAGTACACTAGTAGCGACCTCTAGTGAAGCAACAAGAAGTCAGAATACTTCTCTTCGATGGCGAATTAGGCGAATTGCCAATCCAAGCATGCTGGATGTTATTGAACGATGCTAGGAACAAACTTTTATTTCGATAATACATTTATAGTTTACCCTTGCATTTCTTTTCAATTCCAACGCCACCATTCTTCTACACGTATTTCTATACTACACTTATATAACGTACTTATATATATATATATATATATATATATATATATATATATATATATATATATAATATATATATATATATATATATATATATATTATATATATATATATATAAGGAAGCAATAAAAAACGGGTGCTTCAAAGTATATATATATATATATATATATATATATATATATATATATATATATATATATATATAAAATAAGTTACATATTTTTTTTTATATACAGATTAAATTATTTTTCGATTTTTTTTTTCAGGCTGGCCACGAAAATGCATAAGCCGTAAATTAGTTCTTATTGTATACTTATTTTAGGAATAAATTAATATTTAAGGATTCTGTTCTGTGTTATATATTTACTATCTTGTTACCATTTGAATAAGAAGAAACTTTAGAAAGATTAAAAATGTTTTGACCAATATTGAGTCATAAAATTCATTCTCAAGAATTCTTTGGCTTACTTATCAAACTAAAATTAGATGAGTATTTTCAGAAAATTATTATAAATATACTAACATGATAAGTTACTTCAAAATTAAATTTATACCTCCATACAGAATTTCTGATATTAGTCAGGCTAGTTATGAAAGCCTTTACAGAAAAGCCAAATGTTACTTGTTTGCCTTTACAGTCGGCCTTTACAGTCGCAAAGGCCGACAAATTACTTTTTATATAACCGATTATAAGAATGTAGATTTTAAGAACGAAAAAATCATACATACGTGCGGGATAAAGCTACAAGATGAGATTTAGTTCTAAAACTCAAATGAAAAAACATCTGAAATAAGCTGTATGCCGAAATATTCACAGCTTATGTCAATTAAATATGTATATAGCAATGAAGAGTATCAAAGAAATCTGTGTACATCCAAGGAATTTAAATCAAGAAACTTAAATAATGCTAAAATCAAAATATTCATAAAGGAAATCAAAGGTTGTCAATATTAATGGGACCAACATAATAATAAATATAGACAGCTAAATATTTGCCAAAAAATAAACTGTTGACTAAGACTTTTATTATGAATAATGTCTAATGTTGTAAGATGAGATTGATTAGCAGTGGAATAGGCCATTTTGTTACAGAGAGATCTTAATACATTTAATATTTTATTACAAGAAAGAATGTGAGATGATCTTTCCATGTTAGCTTCAAATCAAAGATTAAACCCAAGAATTTGTGATTATCTCCAAACTCCAGATGTTTCTCATACATTATCAGAGTTGGGGGTTGTGGCAAGAGGAATGTAAGAGAATACAACTCGTATTGTTTTTTCTATTAAAAATTGAAAACCTATAAGGTGGGTCCAATTTTCAAGAGTATCTAAAAAGTTATAAAGAATTAAGAAAATTAAGGAGATATTTTTGCGTTTACTAGATACCACTAGGTCGTCAGCGTATAAAGGGGCTTTAAAAAATCCTTGAATGTTTATAATTAAATCATTTATTGCCCTTAAAAATAGTGTTACACTAAGTATGGATTCTTGGGGTGCACCATTTTCTAAACTACAAATATTTGAAAAAATATTTATTTTTACTTGAAAACATCTTTTGCTTAAAAAGTTTATTATTAAATGCTTTATTAAATGCACGTTCTCAATCAAAACATTAAGCAACATTTTTGGTTCGTAGCATGAGCTTCACGTGTCTCACTTTTCAAGTATAAAATATTGTCTGTGGTTGATCGATCTGTTCTAAAGCCGTTCTCTTCACAGATTGAAAAATTAGAATTTTTTAAAACCCATAATATTCTGGAGTAAATAATATTGTCTAGTAATTTGCACGCTGTAGATGTCAGTAGATGTCAGTTTTTAGCAGAGGAATGACTACTGCCTTTGACCAAATATCTGACCATTGGCAGTGAAGCCAAATTTGTTAAATATGTTTAAAAAATAAGTTATCGCTGAAACAGGGATATATTTCAGAAATTCTGAAGAAATATCATTAGGTCCAGGACTAAAATCCTTTAAGTTAAGGAGAGATGAGTTTATCTTTAAAAAAAATAGGATAGTTTAAGGAATTAAGAAATTATTTTGAAATACAAACAGATGAATGGGATTTTGTTGGGCGAATTCTTTGGCTTTAAGAAAAGTACCGGTATATTGTTGATTCGATGGCCTTGAAAGATTATCACAAAAATGTTTGCCATATTACTGCTCGATGTTATGAAATTATAATTTTTTTAATCCCGTGAAATTTTGGGAAGTCTGTAAACCAGATATTACTCTAACTTTGTTCCATATATTAGAGACAGGGGTATTCCTATTAATTTCCGATACGTACTTATTCCATGAAATGTTTTTAGCAGTTTTGACAATTAACTGTGTCCTTGCTTTTAGCATTTTACATTTTTCTTTATTTTCGGTTTTTTATGCTTTTGGTATCGATTTGGGGCTGATTTACTTTCACGGTTTGCTGTAGTATAACGTTTTTTCCACCACAGTACAGGATATGGGCCGTTAACTGAATTAGATTTATCAATAAATTTCTGGGCAGCGTTTAAAATAATTTGTTTAAACTGCTCTATAGTTAATATCGTATGTTATTTCCAAACTGGAATTTTTATTATCGATATATTCAGAGAATTTTTGCCAATCTGCATTTTTTATTCTCCACTTAGATATGAATATGGAGGAAATATATGAGGAAAAATTGTGGTTTATAATAAGGATTGGAAAATCATTAAAACAATTATTGATATTAAGTTGATCTAAGATATCGACAATACTTGTGCATCTGACAGATGTGTGATCTTAATCCCATATTATGTTGTGAGCATTAAAGTCGCATAGAATTACACCAGGATCTGGCAGTTATTCTAATAGCTTGCAAAGGCTCTCAGAATTTACTTATATGTTATACAAGGAAGATTAACATTGCAAATAAACACTAACTGATAGGTTATGAGTTTGACAACGACAGCCTTAAAATCACTAACTATTGAAATTTGCACCGCCTCGACGGATTTGTTTACTAGTATCGCTACACCACCGCTTGCACGACTTACATCTGTACGGTCATGGGGAAACAAGTGAAATGTTTGGAATTGTACAGTTAATGGGTTTTAAGTTTATCTCCTGTAAGTAAATAGTATCTGGAGAATATTCAGATAAATGAAGCTGTAGCATAAGGACACAATTGAAAATCCATCAATGTTCCATTGAAGAATGAGTTGGATGTTAATTCGAAGTTGGAGGATACTAAATGATTCTCTACAGAAAACACACTGTCTAAGTCGGATATATCTTTTCCTAAATGGTTATGTAGTTTAAGTTTTAGTCCCTTAAGTTTTGTAAACTTGGTTTCTGTAAATCTATTTACTGTTTACTGTTGTACCGCCAGGGATAGCATGCACTAAAATACTTTGTTTAGAAAAACATTACATTTTTAGTTGTAAGTTAGGTTTGAAGTAATTTTATTTAGAGAGGTAAGTGGTATATATATTTGACCTTTTATTCAGTTGTCATTGGGTAATTATGTCAATATCAAAAAATTGTACTTGCTGTAGGTCAAGTACAATTGTACAATTGTACAAGTGTAGTCAAGTACAATACAGTAGGTCAGGTAAGTAAAACGTTGTCATAGGTGAACACAAGCAATTATTTTCCTATACACCCTTGATTTTACACTCAATAGCTACAAATAAAAAGAATGTACTTTACTTTCAGTCATTTATTTGCGTATTAAAATAAATTAATTAAATATTAAAAACTAACATATCATTCTTATCGAATACCAGTCATAAATGTCAAGAGACGTATTTTTATTTGTATTTTTATTTAACATCTAAAGGAAGTTGTTTTTTAACAATTTCGTTTTCCTTAATTGGATTCTCATTTTCTAAAACTGGAACAGCTTCCACAGGTTGCACGTCTTCAGAAGCAGGTTGAACAGATATAGGTTTTTTAGCAGGGCTTGAAGTAACTGGTTGGGGTTGTGCACTAGCTCCATTTCCTCCAGTTGGTATTAGTTGCTGTACTTGTGTTCCAATAGTTTGAACAGCTAAAACAAGAAACAACTCTATAGTATGCGAATATTATGAATTTTATGAAGATTCCGTTCTATTCAAATCAGTGATAGGGGAGCACGGGCACGCTCAAACACGGGGTACCTTAAAACATTGTTCGTATTTCAAATTCTGGTGGGTAAATGAGAACTTGTTACTGTCAGTAACGCTTCGGTCGACACCAGAACTAGTCATCTCTTTTTCGTTATAATCTCAGTTGTAGTTTGGTCGCGGCTGAGGAAATTGTGTTTCTGTGTGACAAAACTAAATTGTTACGTGCGAACATCGTTTGAATTTAAGGTAGGAAGTGCAATATTTTATCTAGTTGATTATTCGAAATTATACGAAACGTTTATATTTACTGAATTGCTTTTATGCATTTTCTTTTTTATAATTGTTGTGTTATTTGTGAATTTTTCATAAAATAGAAAATATGGACGTTTGGGGTACAATGACATGGTACATAACTCGACGGGACACTTTGAAACGTTTCAAGGTGTCCCATTAATTATTTAATCAATTTTTGTTTCTGTTCCAGTCTGGTTCGAAATCGTCAGAGAAAAACCAATAATGGTTTGTTTCTCGAGACTGACATGAAAGATGCAGTAGAGCTCGTTTGTCAAGGCCACTCCATCAGGCGGGCAGCAGAATTAAAAAATGTAAACTACGTACCTAACATTATCTAGGTATATGAAAAAGAAAAAAGACAATGAGTGTGATACAAATTTAAAGTATGTTCCGCACTACAATGTTCGACAAGTATTTCATGTAGAACAAGAAAATAAACTAAAAGAGTATTTGCTAATGTGTTCCAAAATGTTTTATTTTCTTCCAGTGGCGGAATGCAAGAAAGTTGCCTATGACATGGAAGTAATAAATAAAATAAAATATTCAATTTCATGGGACGCTAACAAATCAGCAGGAAAAAATTGGTTCCATGGGTTTTTGAAAAGATATCCATCGCTCAGTCAAAGAACGCCTGAGTCAAAGTGCGCCTGAGGGGTGTAGTTTGTTCCGAGCCGGTTCTTTAAGGAGGGCAAATGTAGAAGTGTTTTTTAAAAATTTGCAAACAGTGTACAAATTTCTTACTTTGCAGATGGAATATGAGTATCTTATCTGGACGAAACAGGCACATTCACAGTTCAGAAGCCTTAAAAAATAATTGCCAAAAAAGAGCTAAACATGTCGGCAAGTGCACTAGTGCTGAGAAGGGTACTAATTTAAAAGCCTGTTGTTTCATCTCAGCGAGCGGCAACTGTATCTCCCCGTTATGATATTTCTACGTGTACACTATAAGTCTCACATATGGTGCAGGAAACGCCCACTGTTACTCTTGGGTTGGCAAATCCATCAGGCTAGATGACTTCTTTATTATTTGTTGAAGCTATTAAACATTTCGTCCACCGCTCAAAAAGCAGCACACAATCGCCTGCTCTGATATTATGCAACAATCACGAAAGCCATTTTTCATTGAAGACACTTAATTTGTGTAAAGAAAATGGAGTGACTATGTTAACTTTTTCACCACATTCTACCAATAAATTGCAATCGTTAGACGTCGGAGTGTTTAAGCCATTTAAAACGTATTACAATGCTGCAATAGATACTTGGATGATGCACCATCCTGAACAAACAGCAAATTTTTAAAATGTTGCTGGTTTTGTAAAGATTGCTCACGAAAGAGGACTGACTCCATCAAAGATCACTGCTGCTTTTAAGAAAATAGGGATTTACCCATATGACAGACATATTTTCACCGATGCCGCTTATTTATGTTATTATGTTACCGATCGACCAATGGCGGACTTGTCAGCTACTTTTAAGGTAAAAGAGTATCCAGTAATACGATTCCGAATATACGATTTCGAAGTGAAGTTATTCAGGAAAAAAAGGACATAACCCCTTTATAGAGCCACCAGTTCAAGATGTATCAATAGTCGCTGAGAATAGGATTAAGATGATTTTGGAGAGCCCGGTTTTTGCGGGATCAACCAAACACCAAAAACAATTTATTTCTTTCGGAATCGACTTCACTTATTTAAATATTGGTTAACTACTATATTTAATGTTTGACTTATTTTTCCTTTGATTTTGTATTATTTTTTTTATTATTGGAATAAAACTATAGCATCGCACTTTTATTGGTCATACTTATAAAGCAATCTCATTGGTCTACTGTACAACTTGGTCGTTTTTATATATTATGTAACATTGTACCCCTATGTATGTTACATTATGCCCCAGTGGTGGAGCAGAAACATTTTTTTTAATTGAATTGATTATTACTCAAAATAGTTATTAATAAGGTTTTTGATGCTACTATAAGTCTGGTTCTAGTACCAAAGGGCATATTTTAAAACACATTTCAAACTGATATACCTACATGCAAAAACAGGAAAAATAAATACAACATAAATTTATGTTTCATTGTGTCCCGTACTCCGCTACTGACTTCAAAAGCGACCTCATTCGAAATCTTGATTTTACATAGGAGAAGGCAAATCTTCTAAGGTCCAGAGTAGATCTTCTCCATTACAATGTTAAGATATCACATTAGATATATCGGAAGTAAGATCGGCAGACTTTTTGGGATATAAGACAATCTTGTTGTTTGTAAAAAAGTTTTGATTTGATAAACAGTCTAAATTTGGATGATGATGCAATATAAGGGGGATAAGAACATTCAAAATAGAAGAAAAGTAAAAGATGCTGTCGAAGAGGCAGCTAAACTGAAATGGAAACGGACTGGACATAACGTATGTCTAACGGATGGCCTATGGTATAAAGGAATCGGGAATTGGCGGCCATATGAAGCCAAAAGACCCGAGGAAGACCGCAAATGCGATAAAGCAACGATAATAAAAGAACTGCAGGGGCAATGTGGAAACGTCTTACAAACAACATAGATGAATGGCGAGAATTATTAGAGACCTATAATATTCGGCAATCCAAATAGAGAAAAGGGCTTAAAAAAAAGAAAAAGAACTTTTATGTACTTTTTATTTCTATTGAGTATAAGGATCACATGAAGAAGACCTATACAAACTTGTAAACACTCCTCGACTCAATCAAATATGATGAACACAAATGGAATATCCCTGGCAAAGAAAGCTAATGCTGTTCTTTTTGAAATGCCGTTAAACTAAATAAAATATGACTGTTTTTATGTGTGTGAGACAGCAGAAATGGAAAATCACATTAGAAGTAGACTAGCCTGCAAGAAACCTTAATTCGAACGAAATGATTCTCATGGCTGAGCCCCTCGTGGGCTCAAAAAATATTTTACTTCCACATTATATTACGCTTGTTTGATGAAAAATGTTATAACATCAATAAACCGAGAATATTAGGTCTTTAAATAATTAGGAACTTATTAACTTCATAACTTAAACATTAAGGTAAAGAAAGCATTTTTGTAGGAACTTAAATCTTTTAATTTATGAAGTATCAAGTATTGGACAGATCTTTTAAAAATTACCGAAAAAGAAACTTGAAAGCTTTTAATAGAGTTATTCGTAGATTATTAAGCAGCAAAAAATAATAATAACTACCCTAATTTAATAAAAATATTACTGGATAAATTCGAAACACTGGGATGTATCGTGTCTCTTAAAATCTACTTTCTCCATTGCCATCTCTAGTTTTCCACCTAGTTGCAGAGTTTTGATTGGTAAACATTTACAATGCTCAGGACATTTTAGTAATCTAAAACAGGTACCAAAGTCGTTGGAACTAACCTATGCTTGTAGAGTACTCTTATTTTGTATATAGAGGTGCCCAGAATGAACTTATGCCAAAAGACGGCGATGAAACCAAGCATATGCATTATTCTCACGTAGTTCTCAATAAAGACAATTCGAATCAAAATTTTTAGTAGTTTAGCATATAGCAAAAATATTTATATTTTATCTGTCAATGTTTAAAGAAAACCTTTCATATCTATTGTATATCATAAAAAATAATGACCCTGTCGCATTCGTTTTTGCAACTCGAGAAGATTTGACCCATCAAGTGAAGAAAACATTTTAATTTTTTTGTAGAGTTGTATTGTAAAATAGTTTCATTGGCAGGTAAAACCACTAAAACTTATTTATAAAAAGCAAGAAGTTTTAACGAAAAAATATTAATAGTACAAAGGACCTTCTGACTTCCTATCCTATTAATAGATTAAAAAAAGTCTTTGTACAAAAATACAAACATAGAAACATAGAAAAATAGTAGTTATTCAGATCTTTTTAATTCTAAATAAATTTACTGATTAGTGATTAGATTATATCTTTAAAATACAAAGTTTTAGAACATACCTTGTTGAACTGGATTTGCATTGACCTGAGTTTGTCCGTTTTGTGGTCTGAACGGATTTAATGGACTATTTTGGATAGCGTTTTGAATATTTTGAATTATATTGGTATTTCCTGGTTGTGCCGGTGCACCTTCATCTCCTTGACTATTGGATGGAGGCCTGTTTCCTCCAAAGAAGTTTGATATGGCATTACCTAGAATAGTAACAAATCAAAATATCTAATATGCTGTCTTCGTAGTATGCTTTTTAGAATACTTTTTGTAACTAAACCATAATGTGAAGAAAGTTTAAATGAAAGTGGTGAATAAATGATACAACTAACTATGTGCATAAAATAAACGATGAGCATTTCCTCGTCGAAAATATACCAGGCCAAAAATCAACAATATACTATATACTTACGAACACAAACTTTCTTTCATCAAGAATAAAAAATATAAAATTCCTATCCTCAACAAACTGTGGAAAAAACCATAACATTATGATGGCCATCATATGATGCAAAGATTACTTCACGAACCCATAGAACATACGAGCAAACCCAATATAGAAGCCTTATGTATCGAAAATTGCTTCTAACAAAATAAGAGTATCCAATGATTTTGAAACGGTATGGACAAGAATATGACTCAATTTACTAGGGGCACAATAAAAAGCACTCAGAAAGAGTCATTAGAAAAGGAGGTAAACGAAATACAAAGCCTTCATCTAGAATTGAGATCAAATACAACAACATAATGAGTACAAAAATGTAAATAACAAAGCTAATGAAAGGATTAAAAAAATTCAACGAGAACATTGACAAAAAATTTCGAGCAATACGGAACACGACTTATATAGAGGTCAAAAGAAAATATAAAATCTACTAATAGCCCGAAAAAAAAAACAATAAATAAGTAAAACAACACACAAGAATAACACCAGAAAAATGAGCACAATATTTTTAGAATCTACAGTGCGAGTGAAAACAACACCAGAACACAGAAAACACACTAGGAGGACGAAAACCCCAACCAACATGCAAGTTGGACCGTTACAGAAAGTAAAACGGATGGAGAGGAAACTAAAGAACAGAAAGGTACCTAGTATCGATGAAGTAACGAAAGAGATGGTAGAAGACCTGGGTGATACATTATTAATTATTAACAGAACTGAATATACGCAAAACATATTCTCAGAACAAAATAATTGAAGTGAAAAAAACATCTGAGTGGAGAGAAAGTATATTGATATTAATTTTTAAGAAAGAAGAGACAAGCAAAGACACAGAATGGAGAATCAGACTAGAAAGACAAGAAAATCAAACTAAAATGTTATACGACGCAGTTATTATTTTAGAAGATGAGGATACCTTACAAAGGCTCGTGTATCAGTTCGAACAAAAACAGCAAACAAACATCAACGTGCCAATATCTGTGAAGAAGACAAAGGCCCTATATACAGAGTGTACAAGTAATGGCATTTAAATGCTGGGGCGTAAATATAACGAGTGACAGAAATCTAAAGAAGATCTAATCCCAAGTAAGAAGTAAGATCCCAAACATTAAGTGCAATAGCAAGATAAACTCTATATGATCGTAAACATATTGAAGAAGTACGTGGAGTAAAAAACAGAAGCAAAGAATGAAGAGACTATTTTAACAGAATGCCAGACGATAGCTTAGCCAAAATTGACAAAGAAAACCTCAAATATATCTCGATAGCCTAGGGCCTAGACGACCGACTATGAGATGGTACAAATAAAGTTGGTCTTCTCAACTGCTACTGCTGAATTATTTAAGACAACACAGGACCTAGTGCAAACTTAAAACCAAGGAATGAGTATTGTGGAGGATTAACACCTAGCAACCTGGGCACGTACATAGGGCCCGAAAATTAGGTTTTTAATTTTTATAATTAATTTTTATTTAACAAAAAAACGTAATATGCGTAATTATAGCTACAACGTATCTAAAATTATGCTGAATCGTTCATTGATAAAGTCGATCAGTGTGGACGAGCGTTCCCGTGCTTATGCATCCACACTAGCGGAGTGTCGATGTCTGTAAATACGATCGAGCCTTTACTATGGACATGTTTTAGGCACAGTATAGTCCAAGCACTATACTGTGTTTTAGGTATGCATCTTACATGAGTTTTGATTGAAAATTGTAAAATTAAGACTTAAGTACCTATTATTGCTTGCAAATAGACTGTTTTGGGTTCATAGTTAATACTTTTTGGAGTTCCTAAAATAAAAATTTAAGTTTTTATAATAGTATTACATTATTTAATTAAAATAATATGAAATAAAAATTATAAAATATCACAAATTGTAATTTTGTTTGTGATTGTAATATTGAGTAAAGTAAATTTAATTGAAGATCTTTTCTTATTCAGTACCTACGTAGTTTTTTATGTAGTCTTTAAAATGAGTTGTTATAAACATTTAAATTGGAGTGAAAAGAGAAAACGAAAATCAGATCAAGATAAAGTTGCAAAATAATAATTAAAAAGCTCGTTAGACAAATTTTTAAGTGTAGATGGAGAACAAATGCAACAACTTTCATTATGTTCACAGATTTCACCTGTTCCAACTCCAGAAACACCATTTGTGTCCGAAATTATTTTACTAAAAATTTTGTAAACGATATTGAATTATGGCTAGAATATTTAACAGTCTCCATGTGAAAGTATTATATAAAAAATCCATCATAATCAAGAAATGGATCGTTGGAATCATCTTCTATTCGATACAACGAAGTTTCAAAATAAATCACAAGAAAATTACCTATTATCTCTTTCTTCAGAACAATTAATAGCAGGAAAACAAATAAAAGAGATTGGTTGGAAAAGTGGATGAATTTGAAAACAAATAATAAATGAAAAAAATATTGGAGGGAAGTACTTAAACATGTGATAGCGACAATCAAATTTATTTCTTAATACACTTTAGCACTTCGTCGTAAAAATGAATTGTTTTTAGTTAAAATAATGGTAATTATATAGGTGCTTAGGAACATTTATCCGAGTTCAATCCATTTTTGCGGGTACACATGACAAAATATGCAAACTGGATTTCTACCTATCTGTTCTCATACTGGTGAAATCTTAGATTTGGAATTTTATTTTAGAATTTTTAAATAATTTAAATTTAGATATCACGAACTGTCAGCAGCAGGAAAACAACATATTTTTTCTGCTCTTTTTATACCATGCGCAAATCATTCACTAAATTTAATTGGTAACGCTACGGCCGAAATTTGCATGAAAATGACCACTTTTTTCGATATAGTTTAGAAATTGTATAAATTTTATTTTTTAAGTTCTACACATTGGGAGATTTCAATGCCAGAATAGAAGACAAAGAAATACCAGAAATAAAACAAACGTTTAACGAAAAAGTAATCAATGAAATCGGAAAGCGAATGTTCGAATTCTGCACATCAAACGAACTCAGAATAACCAACACATTTTTAGATCATAAAATTCAACACAAATACACGTTTGAAAATACAAGAGGACATAGATCAATGATAGATTATGTGGTCACAAACAGAAATATTCGCCCTAAACGGATAGTGGATGTGAGAAGTTTGACTTCACCCAATGTGGGAAGCGATCACTATTTGGTACTTGGTAAAATTAGATTCAATGAAAGTTGGAAAGAGAAGCTTCAACAAACCAATTCAGAGGAAATAATAAAAATAGAAAATTTAAGAGATGACTCCATAAAATCATTATATCAAAAAAGGCTAAAACAGAAAATACAAATGAAGAATATCGAAAATGAAAGCAATGTAGAGACTAGCTGGAGAAAACTTAAGAAAAATATTCTGGATGCTGCCCAAGAAGCCCTTGGGACGAAAATAATAAACAAAAAGTGGTCAACGAACACACCATGGTTTACACTAGAGGTTAAACAAAAATGTCACCAAAAAAAAGAAAGCTTTCCCAAAATATAAGTCAGAAAAAACGAATGAATCATATGAAGAATATAAAAGAATAAGAACTGAAACTCATCAATTGGTAAGAAAAACAAAAACAGATTACTGGGAAAGATTTACAAAAGGGCTAGAGATGGATTTCTATGGACAACAGAAACAAGTATGGCGCTTCATAAGACAACAAAGAAGCGAAATGAAAGAACTAGTTGACATAGAAAACATAGATATAAGAGGATACATGGGTGGCCTTCCTGACAGAAATATTTAAAAAACAAAACGAAGAACCTTTACCAGAAACACAAAATATAATAACTGAAGAAACGACCGAAATCTCCCAAAACGATGTGAAAGAGGGAATAAACAAATTAACAAACAGAAAGTCACCAGTAGAAGATCAAATACCAAATCAACTATTAAAATATGGAGGTACCTTGTACAACAACTGCAACTTCTTAATAATAAAATAATCACCACGAACAGAATACCAGATGAATGGAGGAGAGCGATCATGGTGATGTTCTTCAAAAAAGGAGACAAGAAAGACCCCAATAAAAATCGAGCAATAAATCTTTTAAATACAATACTCAAATTGACAAAAAAAATAATAGCGACAAAAATAAACGAACGAATATCTCTGAAAGAGGAACAGCAAGGATTTCGGACAGGATGATCATGCACGGATGCAGTTTTTGTAAAAAGACAAATAAAAGAAAAATCGCTGGAATACAACAAACCAGCATATATGTGTCTGATAGATTTGAAGAAAGCGTTTGATAGAGTGAGAATTCAGGACGCGATACATTTATTATATGAAAAGGGAATATCACTGGATTTAGTAAGAACCATTGAGAATATATATAACGATAACACAGCTGTGGTAAGATGTATAGAAAAACTATCGCAACCTATCAAATATGAAACTGGCATTAGACAAGGAGATTCGCTGAGCCCATTAATATTTAATCTGATTATGGATGAATTCATAAAGAATGTTAAAAGCATAAGAAAATATAGAATGGGAGAAAAGGAAATCAGGATAATGTGCTACGCCGACGACACCATAATAACAGCCGAAAATGAAGATGACCTACAAAGATTAATTAAAGAATTCGCAGATCCTGCGCTCATATACAACATGGTGATCTCAACAGAGAAATCTAAAGCGATAGTGATATCAGCGGAATCGAGGCGATGTAAACTAGTCGTAAATAACAAAATATTAGAACAAGTGATAAAAATTGAATACTTGGGAATAAAACTGTTAAGCTACGGAAAAGTGGAAGAAGAAGTACAAAAACAAGTGAACATGGCAAACAGAGCAGCAGGATGTCTCAACAACACAATCTGTAGAAACAAATACCTCACAACGGAAACGAAACCCAACCAACCGAAATCAACAATAAGACCGATAATGACGTACACGATAATGGCGAAAACACAAAGACTGCTGAAAACAACAGAAATGAAAGTCTTACGAAAAATAACAAACCAAAGTCTAAGAGACAGAGTAAGAAAATACGAGCGAGATGTGGTATAGAGGAAAAACACGCCTGGACCAAAAGAAGAAAAGTGGAATTGAATCAACACATCGAAAGAATGACAAAAAATAGAATAGTACGAATAGCAAGAGACAAATCGCCAAATGGAAGAAGATCATTGGGACGACCGAGGAAAAGATGGTCAGACAACGTCAACTGAGGATTTATAAACCTATTTATAAAGTAGGAAGAAGAAGAAGTTCTACACATATGTAGAATGCATTACAAAAATTTTGTAAAAGCAAACACTTGAGTATTAAACTTATTTGTGTCACCAGGTGGTCTTCTTGTTCCAATACTGTAAAATCGTGGAAAATTATAAAGAAATTAATATAATTTATCGTTATTTTATATAGAAAAATAGTTATTAAATAACTCTATTAGTTACAAGAAACTAATTGAAGTTTGTAGAATTGGAAGTGGGAAAAATGCAATATAACTAATTTATCTGGGTATATTTGTTTAAGTATTATTGTTTGTTTTAATAAATTGTGTTTAGGTTTGTTTATTTTTTTAGTTTTTTTTTGTTTATTTGTTTAGATTTATTTAATTTTTGTACATGTATATTATTTTGTGTTCTTTTTTTTGAAATCCGATAATTAAATAAAAATTCACACTATATGCTTCGAAATCAAACTACCAAACGCAAAGTGTGTGTCATGGTTGAAAAATAGGCCCGGAATTATAATATTACCAAAGCCCGCATTAGCCTTAGTTCGATACTGATGTACAGGGTGTCCCAGACTAATTTACCCACGCTATATCTCTTAAACGAATAGATATTTTTGAATGGGACAAAAAGTGATCTATTCTACTTGTAATACACTTTAATATGGCGTAGAAAAAATCATCCCCTGATTATTCATCCCTTAGTTACAACCCCCAACTTTAATTTTTTTAATAGCACCCTGTATATTTTTTTATAGTTTTGGATGTGGTCTTCTATCGTCTATTCAACAGATTTATTAAAAATAAAATCGGTTTGTAAATAATCAAAAAATCAATTTATTTTTTATTTTTGTTAATTAAGTGTCCCAGACTAAATTATCCAGGCTATGTTTCTTAACAAAATAGAGATTTTTTTAAAGAGACAAAAACTGGTCTATTACATTTGTAATACACTTTAATATGGCGAAGAAAACATTATCCCGTAAATATTCATCCCTTAGTTACAACCCCTAACTTTAATTTTTTTAATAGCACCCTGTATATTTTTTTATAGTTTTGGATGTGGTCTTCTATCGTCTATTCAACAGATTTATTAAAAATAAAATCGGTTTGTAAATAATCAAGAAATCAATTTATTTTTGATTTTTGTTAATTAAGTGTCCCAGACTAAATTATCCAGGCTATATTTCTTAACAAAATAGAGATTTTTTAAAGAGACAAAAACTGGTCTATTACATTTGTAATACACTTTAATATGGCGAAGAAAACATTATCCCCTAAATATTTATCTCTTAGTTACAACCCCTAACTTACATTTTTGAATGGCACCCTGTACATTTTGTATAGTTTTGGATGTGGTCTTCTATCGTATATTCAATCGATTTTTTAAAAATAAAATGGGTTTGTAGGGTATCAAGAAAAAATCAGTTTATTTTTTATTTTTGTTAAATTAATCAAGATAGCCTTAAAAAATAGAATCGAAAAGACATATGCTTTATTGTCACTAAAATTAGATAAATCGTCAATATTACAAAATAAAAGAATGAAAGTAAAACAAAAACAATTTATTGCAAACTTTCAATAAATTGCAAATTGAACATACTACTCGTACAAATAAAATACAACCTTAGGAACAAAAAAACTTAAAGGAACAATAAAAATAAATGCAATAAAAATTACATGAAAAATTAAATCAAAACACCAACTAACTAACTAATATTATTTACATTAAATGTTCGAATTGTAACCCACCTGCTGCAACACACATTTCGAATTGTTCTAGAAGATTTCTGGTACATGTGGCTCGAATCCTTTCGGGAGTAATTTCACGACATGCTTGTCTTATTTTTTCTTTTAATTCCTCTAAAGATATATCCTCTATAAAAATATCTTTTATCGCTCCCCAAAAGAAAGAGTGAAGAGGTGACAAATCACATGAACGTGCGGCCCACATAGTTTCTGGAGAGTTGTTTGCTATCCAGTGGTTATCAAAACGGTTTTGTAGGTGGTCGCTAACGTTTCTCGCATTTTGTGGAGGAGCTCCGTCTTGTTGCCACCACATTCCTTGACGCTCATGAAGAGGAATATCTTCTAGCAAATCGGGTAGAATGTTTTCTAAAAAGTCTAAATATCGAACACCTGTTAGAGTACCGTTAAAAAAGTAAGGACCTATAACACGGCCATTAAATAAACCGCACCACACATTTATTCCCCAAATATTCTGAAATTATCCATCATCCAATGCGTGTTCATGGGAGACCAATAATTGGAATTGTGATGGTTGACAACACCACTATTGTGAAATCTAGCCTCATCACTCCACAATATTTTTGATAAAAAAAGTGGATCATCACTGATTTTTGACGTCTTTGGTCATCACCAGGCTGTAATCCTCGAACTAGGTGCACTTTAAAAGGATGGTAGTTAAAATCTTTGAGAATTCTATTCATAGAACTTTTTGTAATGCCACATTCACTGGCAAGGGTTCTAACAGTCACCTTGGGATTAAAATTAATATATGCTGGTACATTAATAAGGTTTTGGTTACACGTTACTGTGCGTTCAATTGTACCTCTTTTATTATTAGGAAAATGTCCCTGTCTAAGTGAGCGTTCCAAATTCTTAAAGGTTTTTTCGCTTGGAATGTTTCGATTGAAATAGAAACTTCCTTTCCGAAACCTTTCTTGATATAATTGTCGGTAAATTCTCCTATTTTTTAGGCATTCTCCATAAATCAAAATGATATCAACGTACTCATCATGCGAAAATAAATAAGGCATATTGAAATGTTATAGATACACAATTATAACAAATATAATTATTACTGGTCTAATACCAAACGTCAAAAATAATAATTGTTGATTTGACAGATCAAATCATGGCAACCTGAATTAAGGGTAATATTCAAGACGTAAAATAACCGCAAAATTTTTTCAAATATTGTGACTTTATTATAAGAGATTTTTGTGTAAATTTTTGCACACTTAATTTTGCACACTGGAAGACAACGTATGCTCCTACAAAGACCAAATTTTCAAAAATTATGTTTAAATAAAAAGAGTGTGTACTTCGTACGCACGTAAGAAGTTATACTACGTAGTTAAAATAGTAAAATTTAAGTGATAATAAAGCATACTATTTCTTTTCTATTCTATTTTTTAAGGCTATCTTGATTAATTTAACAAAAATAAAAAATAAACTGATATTTTCTTGATACCTTACAAACCCATTTTATTTTTAAAAAATCGATTGAATAGACAATATTAAAGTGTATTATAGACCAGTTTTTTGTCCCTTTAAAAAATCTCTATTTTGTTAAGAAATATAGCCTGGATAATTTAGTCTGGGACACTTAATTAACAAAAATAAAAGATAAATTGATTTCTTGATTATTTACAAACCGATTTTATTTTTAATAAATCTGTTGAATCGACGATAAAAGACCACATCCAAACCTATAAAAAAATATACAGGTGCTATTAAAAAAATTAAAGTTAGGGGTTGTAACTAAGGGATGAATATTTAGGGGATGATTTTTTCTACGCCATATTAAAGTGTATTACAAGTAGAATAGATCACTTATTGTCATATTCGAAAATCTCTATTCGTTTAAGAGATATAGGGTGGGTAAATTAGTCTGGGACACCCTGTATAGTTTAATTTTGTTGATGTTAAATTTATGTATTTACTAATTAAACAATTACAAATCTTAAATGTTTTTATATGTTCTTGTTTTAAAAAGGACCCAGCAAGTTTGTATCTTTAGAATATACGTTAAAATTATTAAATTTATTTGTGATTACTATTTATGTGGAAGAAATACGCCGCTTGTTCTACCGTTTGCTATTTTGTTTTTGATGTACAATACATATTCGTAGATAGATTATATCATGGCCACCATGATTTTAGGGTATTTAAATAAGAAAGATACTATGTAAAATCTGTATAGCGGTTTATGAAAACAGAACATGGTGGTGCAGATACAACTTTGAGCTACAGAACATTTAAACGCAAAATTTTGGTGAAAATTATATACTACAATCATATACATACATACAAAAATATATACTACATATTTGATTCAAGCTCTCGAATCAAATATGATAAATAGGACCACAATTGTGCAATCGGTAAGTACAAAAAAACTAGATAGGTCAAAGGTCAGCTGAATTGACCACGTGACGCAAGATGACGAGAAGTTTCTCCCAACTCAACAATCCAATGATATGGCTCAGGAAATTTGAGAAGAAAGAAGCCACGCTGATAATGATGATTAATTTTTTAAGAGTTGCGTGTTAAGTTTACAGTTAAAATAACTGTATAAAATTGTAGCACAGATTTAGTTAATCAGATTTTTACTTACCCACTGATTGAATCACTTGTACTGGTCCATTTTGTTGCTGTGACCCAGTGTCGCCTAAAAATAAGTACTTTATTTAATTATTTTAATTCAAAGAAAAATATATAAGGATTTTATAATTTTAAATAGTTATTTTATAGTTTTTATTATTTGCCATATTGTCAGATTCCAGTAAGAGTCTAAGAAGGTATCCGTTGACTTCTGGCAGGCAACGGTGAAGGAAATCTTTTTTGGATATTATCCATCACGGAGCAGGACACTCTGTCATTTTTGGCCGACTAGGATACTAGGCCAGAAGACCACAGGGTAGTGCCGGATTAGCCGTATTCCGGCTAAAACCTGAACTACTACTCCAGAGAGGTAGCTACTAAATGAACAACTAAAATGAAAAACTAAAAACTATTTAAGTTTCTAGCTTTAAAAAAAAAACTAAAAACTTAAAATAGCCATACCTATTACCGTAAATCAGAACATCTTTCCGTTAGGCCATAAACTTATAAATAATATTAACCATAAATTTTAGATCCCTGGTTCAATTTTCTCCTCCGTCCACCTGCTTCTTCTTTATTGCCCCAGAAATCAGGCAGTGTACTTCTCTCCATTCTTTCTCTTCTCTCCACATTATGTTTATTATGTTTTTTTCATTCGGCCCGAAACCCATTCACCTCTTGAAATTTCCAATTTAATTTTCCCATCGTTTGTTTGTTTCCAGTTTGTTGAGGCAGATTTGTCTCGTAACTTTTTTAAGGTCCTAAAACCACCATGTACGGTCAGAAACTGCGTCAGGAAATAGTCTAGTCTTTTTGAAAGTCTGAACTTTCATTCCGACCACGGCTTAAGATCGGGAATAAGCTTCTTTGTACACCTTACCTTTCTGCTATCATTCGCCCATTCTCTTTGACTATCTATATTTCCATCCATCCTTCTCGCATACAACCTTGCTCGCTCTTTGCACAACAAAACTACTGATATCACCGCTCCAATGACATATCGAGCCTCATTTGAAACCGTCCTGTATGCGCTGGATTCCCTGAAGAGCATTCGCCTTTGTGAAGTCTCCATGAGCTTGGCGTATTTCGCAGTGTTCAGTGCGCTACATCACACGGGGCAGCTTAGGTTATCACCGACTGGAAAACTCCATTTAGCACCCTTCTTTTAGTGCTACCTAAAATATTTGGCATCAGCGGTATCAACGCACTCAGATTTCGGTTCGCCTTCTATTCCGTTTTCTGCATCTGTACTCTGAATCTTAGTCCTTCCGACAATCAGACTCCGAGATACTTAACCGATTTAACCACTTCAAAGGGCAAATTGGCCGAAATCGCACCTCTTTTATTTAGAGTTTACTTATCTCGTTGCATTTTTTTCGGATCTCTATATCAATATTTTTTAAAACTGTGTCTTTATTTTTTTATTCTATCTTATTTTTGTTAAATTTTCTTTTTCCCTTTCACCACATACTTTTTTTCTCTTTAGCCTTCGTCTTTATAGCCACGCTTTGTCCAGAAGGTTGGCAATGGTCTATACATAAAAACACACGCGAAGATACTCAAATGAAAATTTTAGATTGAAGAACTCATTCCGAGAATTTCGATTATACCAAGCGCAACGCCATTTAAATTTTGAATTTAACCGAATTTTATATTTAAGTCGTCTTCTATTCACCATATCGATAAATAAATCACAAAGTCGATCCCTGAATGTTTGTGGACTGAATATAGAAAATAACTGTTTCTAGCATGGTCAATCGTATGTAGTATGTTGACCTCTAGACAAACCATCAACTTTGTTTATTCCCGCACCTGGCAACACAACGAAAAATATAGTATAGCACAACGTCCTTATATGAAGAGAATTATCAACCAAGACACTAGTGCAACCCATTCAGCAAGTGGTTACTTTGCCGCCACATAAATTACCTCATTTTTTAATTTTTATTGAACTTGATAAATTTGATTTTAATATAAAAGCTAATAATTCAACAGAATGTTTATTAATTCTAAGGTGGTACGAAGTTGGCCGGGTCAGCTATTATGAACTAAAATAAAAATAACTAAAAGTGTGAACAACGCTTCCGAGTGCCGAGACCATTTCGAAATCTGGATTGAGTTCCACCTATATCCTATTAAAATGTCCTGTAAACCATATCTTCTTCAATTATGTACATCTTAGCAGATGTATAATGTTTTTGCATGTTAATGTTCTTCCAGAGTTTTTATCACTCGGTTGTCGCTGGGTGTCTATATTGATCTATTCTGGACTGCACACTTGAAGTTTGTATCAAGAAGTTTTTCAACTGTGCCAGTCCATCTTTTCAGCGATCGCTCCAGTAAACGGGATAAGTGACGTTAATTAATATAAACTTACTGAAAGATATTAAACAAGTAGTACACACCTTGTGCTCCTTGTGGTGGTTGAATGCCAAAAGCATTTTGTACATTACTTACAATGGTACCAAAAAATCCTCCTATAACATTACCAGGCGCTGGTGTTGCACCGCTACCAGGATCACTAAGGTTGTTATTTGAGGTCGTAGCTTGATTATTTGTGCCCGTGATGGTAGATACAATGTTGCTTATGCCTAAAAAGTATATATTATTTAAAAATAGTAATAAGGAACGTTCTAGTTAATACTTTAAAATTTTAAGGTTAATTTAAAAATGCTACAACAAAATAGTTTAAAATCCTATATTTCCAGTTAATATTTTTGATTGTTTTATTTATTGTCAAACTCAGAATCAAGTATTGCCAAAAGAAAGCCTATTTATTTGCAATTTATATACGTGAGAGTTCAATCTTCATAAAAAAAAAACTAAAAAAATTACAGTAATAGGTAGAAAGATCACCTGCATACAGTATCTTGCCATTAACTTACTATCATCATACCATACAAAGATGAAAAGTTATACTAGGAATTGTAAATCAATTCCAAAAATGTCAAGAATATATTGAAAAATGTTTTGATCTTTCTGGGAGGGTAGTGGTTATAAATGGGCCAGAAATCGAGATATAGGCCTCGATCGAACATAGAAATAAAAAACTGAATCTTGGTAACTGCTATTGCTGATAAATTGAATGTATTCAACATGAACGATACCAGGAAATATGTTAACATCGATAAGTAAAATTAATATCCACAAGAAAACTAAATTCATGTAGCTGGCTGTATATCATGTATTACAAAAAATTTATTTAAATATTTCCTTATAAAAGGTATAATATTAAAAAAACCCTATCGGACTTCATCATAGAACGTTTTCGAAGTTAATATTCCATCATCAGTGCTATCCTAAAAGATTTAACCACTTTAATTAAAGCAATCTTGAAAATTAAAATGTTGACCAAGGTTAAGGACCAGTACCTAAGTATTAACCACATTTTTGTAATAACCAGCAGCGCCAGCAGAAATATTAAATATAGGAAGAGATATACTGCAGCAAAAATAGCTTCACTTATAAAATTTGGAAAAACGAAAAAATGCCAGGCAATAGAACACAGCTTTACATCTGCCCAATTTACAAGAAAGGTGATAAAACTGTCTGTGAAAATTACAGGGTAATCGCACTATTAGAAGTAATATATAAAGTATTAGCAAAAAGTATACGAAGTAGATTAAAAACATACGAAACAGAGATAAAAGGAGAATACCAGGCTGGTTTCAGAAAAGGAAGAAGAACAACCGATCAAATTTGTATGTTTAAGTTACTATAAAAAAAAACAGTTATAAACAGCACTTAGGCTTGCATAAGCTATTTACTGATTTTAAATAGGTATGTGACTCTCTTACGAAAAGAACTATTCGAAGCAATGAGATAAGTGAGAATATCAGAGAAACTGATATGTTTAGTTAAAACGACGCTATATAATACAGTAAATAAAGTTACGATAGAAGGAAGTCTTTCAAATCCGTTTAATGTTAATAGAGGATTAAAATAGGGAGACCCCCAGTCAACAGATTTACTTAACCTAATACTACAATGCATACGTTTCGCACATGACTTGGTATTTCTGATACTTCCCAGAATAGCACTTCGAAAAACGTTTACAAAATTTAAAGAAGAAACTACAGAATATGGCCTTAAAATGAAATCCTTTAAAATGTGGGTATAAAGGAAAACTTTACATATACCTTGTGGTATATATCAATCAAACTGTCCGAGCTGCTGAAGAACAATTATGAACCACAACACATCTACTAAGATGTTAATGACTGTGATGATGATATACCAAGTGCGTGGTGAAAAATACAACATCCTAACAATTATCATATTGGAAAAAAATAATTACTATTTTAACGGGAATAAGCCACTATTGAAGGTTAAAGTAAGTTTATTGATATTTCAATTTTCAGTTCGGAAATCGTTTTCAAAATAAAAAAAATTTATAAATTAAACAAATTTTTTTTTGTTACTTGGAGAAAAATTCTTCTAATAATTTAATTTTATCTAACTCATTTATATTGACAATTCAGACATACATTATAAATTTTAAAGTAGACGACTTTAAAATAATATTGCCAATCAACTTTAACTTGAGAATATCCGCCAAAAAAAAATAAAAAATTATTAGAAGAATTTTTCACCAAGTAACAAAAAACAAAATTTGTTTAATTTATTAATGTTTGTATTTTGAGAACGATTACCTAAGTGAAAATTGAAACGACAATAAACTTACTTTCACCTTCAATTGTGGCTTATTCCCATTAAAATGGTAATTACTGTATAATGCCACAAGAAAATAGCTTCAGAACAATATTAGGAAAAAATAGCGGACAAAAGAGCAATGGACAAACACATATATCCCGGCTTTATATAAAGCATAAATTTGATAAGTGGTTTGGACCTACTCTAAGTGAATTCTTTAAAGCAACTGTTTCAAAAGTCAAATAACCATGACGATAATTATTATTCTTGGAAGCGAAGATAATACCTAGACGAAAAAGAAATAATAAACTCAAAAGCGTTACATTTAAAAAATAACACGACATATTTTGTAATAGCTAAAATGGTTTATCTTGAGTAATTATATAATACAAAATAATAATGTAATAAAATACCGTAATTTGTTCGGACAGAACTATTCGACTAGAAAATAACAATAAAAATAATACGACTAGTGAGAATAAAAGTTGACAAATACATTTTTTGCCATCATAAACTTTGTTTCTGAGTTTGACAATACATGAGACTAATCGTGAACATTATACTACAATTAGATTATATTTAAAAAATATTAACTACTTATATTAAAACCTTTGTATTCTTTGAAAGATAATAATTTAAGACATAATTTCGCGACATCATAAAACACATGATATTTTATTTAAAATTATTTAGTGTTGTTTGATATTTAAATAAATGTGTGTAGCGCCATTTTTTATAAATGTACATTACTAAATTTTTAAAAGGTTGTGCCTGTAAATACAGTCAGTGATGAAAATCTTATCTATGTATAAATAATAAAGTCTCATTAAATCTATAAACAATAATAAAAGTAACAAAGGCCATAATGATTTTAATAGTAATCTTTTAAAATATTACCGTTATTGAAAAACTGAACGAAACCTTGGAATCCGTTACTTGGTGGTGCACCTGCCGCTGCTGCTCCTTCATCTCCTTGTCCATTAGGAGGTTGAGCTCCACCGCTGGTAGCACCTCCTATACTTTGTATACTCTGGACAAAGTTACTAGCAATTCCATTAATTCCATTAACGATATTCTGAACCCAGTTATTTTGAGGTTGTTGGGCTACTGGTGTTACTGTAGATCCACCTGTAATATTCACATAGTTTAACAAAGAAGTTACTGATACTTCCCAGAATAGGAGTTATTTTCACATCTGATCATTTGAAACCATATATGGGTTTCTAGGTTTTCACCTTGTGGTACTTCCTCATTTGACAATATATACTTCACCAGTCGCCGACGAAATATTTTAATGTCTCTGCAAAGCCTAACTACTTACCTTCCACTGGTGCAGATTGTCTAATAGCAAGTTTCTGCTTTTCTTCGGAGAAGTATTCGTCAACTTGTTTTTCCAACGTTGCCCATTGTTCTGCAGTGGGACTTAACTCACCTTTATTTGGTTTAAAAGAATCTTTCAAATTTTTAAGACCAAGTCTAAAAATATTCTGAGTCTCTTGTAAGACACTGTCTAAAGTCTGTAAGAGAAAAAATATAGTGTATATAAAAAATGTTTATTGGGAATAATTAAATTGAATAGGAACACTTTCAAAGTTATTTATTATAATTAATACAATTAACTATAATTAATAACTGGTTACATTCAAATTTACCTGGGCAGGTTTTGGAGCTGCTTTTTGCAGAACAGTGTTCGAATCACTAAGCGGTTCTGGAGCTATTAAAGATTTCACGAAAGGTGTCTCTGGAACCTAAAATTGGAAATATTATTTACAATAGCATAAAAACTTTAAACCCTTAATACTAGAGCTAGTAATTATCAAAAAACATAAAATAAGAATGTTAAAGTATTAAAATTAGGGATCCAAAACCATAAATTAAAAGAAGAAATAATAGAGGACTCATACTTTACATAACACATTATAAGATAATCGAAATTATACACAAAATAGCAAATGACTAACAAATTTCAAATACTATTCGGGTAAAAAGAATTTATTTGAGTTATCGGTGCAAAATAAGAATATTCATTTACATTAAAAGTAATATTAGGGAAATTCAAGTGATTGTATGTATAGAGAAAACAAAATTGTTGAGAGAAGTACGAATGCCTGTGTGGATCTGAATAAATTTGGGCTACATCATCTGAACAATAAATATGATAATATTATGTTTAAAACTCATTCTTCGACATACGTAAACCTCAAAAATAAGTATTTAAATCAGAACCAAAAAAATCCAAAAAATATTAGAGATAATATTTATAATAAATAAAAAATATTCATTTGCAGATTACAACATTTAGCTAACCTATCTGTATTATGAACTAAAACCATTGAACTTTGTTGAATTTACCGAATACCACAAAAAATTTAGAAAGCATATTGAAACCGCATTTAGGCCAAATTAATGATCAAATATCTTTAGTCTAATCAGACAGAAGAGGGAATTAGGTTAAGATCCCCTAGAACGTGGCTGATGAAATACAAGACAACATAAGTCGAAAGAAAGCGCCATCACATGATTTTATCACTGGAGAATTAAAAAAAATTGCCTCTTAAAGCAATAATAAAATTGGCCAATCTAATTAATGCTGTATTGAGATAGAAATATGTCCCAAATTTATGGAAAATATTAAATTTATATTGATACCAAAATCAAAGAAATCGCCAAACGGAATCTTCAATAGACCAATATCACTTTTACTAGTAATGTCGAAGATATTTAAGAAACTCATGCTAAAAAAATAAAACCAATATTAGAAGAGAACAAACTGATTCCAAACCACCAGTTTGGGTTCAGGAATAAACATTCTACGATTTATGAAGTACATAGAATCATTGAAGATTTGAAAAATCATTAGAACAAAAAAAATCTATTCTACAATATTTTTAGACATAGCTAAGGCATGTGTAACAATATTGTCAAATAATGGAATAAAGGTTTAATCCACAATCTGAAAAACCGTATGTCTGAACAATATTCAGAAATTTTGCCATCATATATATCAGACGGATATTTCAGAATTAAGCAAGAAAACGTGTAAACTGATCTAAAAAAATTAAAATAGGAGTCTTTTTTTTCGCTGGAAAGTCGATATTTAAAAGAAAAGGAAGGAACTAGGTATCCCTTACAAGAAAATGTATTGACTGATAAGAATACATTCAGCATTGTTTATACATAACAAACGACTGTTATACAAACAAATACGAGATTCGTATGCATGTATGGTTGTCAGGTCTGGAGCTGAGCCAATTCAAATAATACCCAGATTATCTAGAGATTTCAGAATAAAGTATTAAGGAACATCGAAGAAGTATTGGCAGACCAAGAAAAAGATGATGCGACAATTTAGGAGGCTAATATTGAAGAAGAAGAAGGTAGTCACGTTAACATCAAGATCATCCAGCTCCTCTATAATATAATATTGGGTTAAAAAGAAAACTCAATATTAAAGCCGCGTTTTCACGATGGCAATTGGCGAAACAATTGTCATTGGACAATTGTCGTCACGTGGTTTCGGATTGTCGGAGGCCAGTCCAGTTGAACGAGAAGATGTTTATACGGCGCCAACTACTGCCATGGCAGTAGACAGCTAAAACGTGACACTATATGTTTGTGCGTCACAGTGTTGCCACATTTTTTTGTATAAAGTATAGGAGTTTTTAAAATAGAAAGATACTTTGACGAAATTGTATACAATGTTTTAAAAAACTTGTACAGAAGTAAAATGCTCCACACTTGTATTTAGGTATATACTTAGGTAAATGTGAAGTGTTTTACTTCTGTAAAACACAATGTTTTAAAAAACTTGTACAGAAATAAAACTATTGGTATACAGCTAACTACTGGGATTTTCCCATTAATTTTTATATAATGTTTTGTTATGAGAAGCCACAATTTTTGAATTCATATTAAAAAGCATTCATAAAATAGTATTTTTTACTTTAAATATAGCTAAGTATTTGGTGCATTCTTATGTTTAGCCTAATTTTTTTATTTTCATTTAACTTTACTTTATTCTGTAGTTTTTAAAGTTTAAAGTAGTCTAAACTATTAATTTTTACCTTAAGCATAATGTTAATGATTTTTATTATATAAGTATTTTAAATGTAAGATAAAGTTTTATTTTATAATATTTATAGGTTTAATTTTAAAGCTTTTAATTATATATGTATTTTTCAATTTTAAATTTTCATTTCATGCCCGTAATTTTATATATGAGAGTGTGAAATAATTGAGTATATGTCAACACTGACGTATATTAAGCTTACATTTAACGTCAAACATATCTACCTATAGGTTATGTTCACTGTACGAAAATTAAATTTAACCCAAATATCACAAATTACTACTGGCAGCACTACTGGCCTACACCGTTCACACGGCACCAATTGTCGCGACAATTGAGATTTCGAGTGGTGGAGGGGCCAACTTCGCGCAGCTCATTGTCCTCAGTCTACTCCCGGAGACAACTGAATTTGGGGCCAATTGTGAAGGCAGTTGGCAAGGTAATTGGCCTGAAGTGTTTACACGAAGACAATAATTTCATGCCAGTCTGGTGTCTTCTGACAATTGTCTCGCCAATTACCATCGTGAAAACGCGGCTTAAGAAATAAAATAGCTTGGATTTACACTGTCCAGCTATGGAAACTAGGACAAAGAAGTGAGAGATCAAGTACAAAAAGTAAATAGACTGATAGGAAACCTTAATAACAGTATATGGCGAAACAGACACACTAACAATGAGATGAAGTCAAGAATTTATAGTCAGTATATGACCAAAAATGGCATATGCCTCAGAAATAAGACCTGACACAGCAATAACACAAGGGCTACTGGAAATGGTAGAGATAAGGCTGAGAGGAATTACAGGAAATACGCTGAGAGATCGAACGAGAAGTAAATACATTAGAAGAAAATGTCCATGCAGTGTATAAACGAATGGACACTAAATAAAAAAAATGGAATAACCACATAAGCAGTATAGGCGAGACCCGTGTCGTCAAAATAACAAGAGATAAATCACCAATCGGCAGAAGTATCGGATGACCGCGCAAAAGATTGAGTGACAACTTTCTATAGAGGTAATAATCCGCCAATAAATAAGCAGAATTGCTTACAAAGATGATGAAGAAGAAGAAATAAAACTCAAACTAAGAAAAGGATTTGAGTTAGTGTAAAGAATTAAGTAGTGTAAAAGCAGAGCTAGTGGTGTATCGTAAGTTAGCCATACTGAATAGTTGTTGGTTGTTGGTTTAATAAGAGGACATCATAGGGTAAGTTCTTAGAATAAAAGTATTCTCTAGTAATTTAAGTCAAATATTTCAGTGGTGGAATAATAAATTCTACTATATACAATTTAAACCACTGCTGTTCGACGTCGGTTTCAAATTTGGATAGAAAACTTTGTCTACTGATGCCATAAATAGGTACCGTAGAGACAGTTACAGGTTATCATTTACCCTACTCCAAATGGATGCCATTAAATAGTATCATAAACGAAACATGTAAATTAAACTTAAAAATATGGCTAAATTCAGAGATGACATACGCGACTGAAAGCAATAATACGCTCTTCTGGACTTAATTACTACTGATGATCAGACCTTTCAAATGGCGGAATATATGAGTATATTATTTGAATGTGCATCTGATTCAGATACAAAAATAATTATGTTGCAAATTCTAAATCAGACATTTCTTTAAATAGTTGGTGAAATTAAGGCATTTCTTTAAATATTTGGAATATTTCCAGCAATCGATCTAAAGATCATTCTTTGTTTTGTAAAAATTTCTAATTATCTTTTTATATTTTCTGCCATCTGGTTTTATCGATCTGATGTATTTTCTGAATACAGTTTTGGTGTTAATATTATATATTATTGCAAGCTTAACTTTTAGGAATTAATTTATTTTTTCTCTCATTTCTAATCTTCTCTTTTCCTAATCCGCAGATCTTCTTTAAACTTCCATTCCATTTATAGTTTTAAGTCTACTTTCGAATTTTTCTTTATTTGTCCAATTCTCACTACTGTGTGTTAGTATACTCTTAATAATTGTGTATTAGAATCTATGAGTATTCTTTTTTTTTAATATTTTTGTTGTTTCTTCTTTAGATATTCTTTCCATTAGTGAATGTTGACCATCAATATGATAAATTGATCTATATCTTTTGTGACTCTTAGTAATATGCAACCTATTAAATCTACCAGCTAGAAGCATTGTCTTCTGCTATTTCCTTTTTTTTTAACTTGCCTCTCGATACAAAGATATAAAAGATTATACCTCCCTTATTAGTAAATATATTCTAGATGGGAGATTGAATGTCTCTCAGAAATCAATTAGAATAATTTATTAAACGCAGATATTAGAATATATCTAACAAACATTACTATTTTTTCCAAAAAGGCTTCAACAGCAAGCATAGTCATAAAAGGACTAAAATAAAAGACTAAAATAAAAAAAACATGACGATGATAAAAAGTGATTTCCATCGTCTAGCCCGCTTTGCATGTAAAATACACGTCATATAAATATATAAAAAGATATGTAGGTGCAAGGAATGTCTTAGTCTTCGACCTAAGACACCAGAAAACCGTAAAATACTTGGGAATCATACCAGACGGCAAAATGGCATTTAGACACCACATACAAGAGGCATGTCGGAAGGCAAAAGAGAGGACCTCGACCTTAATAAGATAATGCCGAATATAGGAGGCCCCGGGTCACATAAAAGATCAGTTATCCTACAATCAATCATGTTCATCTTACTATATGGGACTGCAGTGTGGCATGAGATCCTCAACAAAGCGAAATATAAAGGCATGCTTCTTAGGACAGAAAGGAAACCATTGATCAGGGTATGCAGTGCGTACAGGACCGTATCAACCATTGACTTACAAGCAGTGGCCGGTGCTGTACCGGTGCATTTCCTGGCAAATGAAAGGGTTCGTATGCACCAAAGAGGGCTTTAGGTTCGGGAACACAAGAAAGAAAAAGGAGTTTGGAGATCTGGCAGGACCATTGGTCAAGAGAAACAAACAAGGCTCCCTGGACAAGGGCGCTTATCTCAGATGTAATAAGATGGTAGGAGTGTAAACACATACGTGTCAACTATTACTTCATCCAATTTATGACGGGGCATGGATCTTTCCGGGCTTATACCTGTAGAATAAAGAAGACCGAGGACGATCTGTGTCCTGAGTGTGGAGTGGTAGATGACGTAAATCATGTGATATTCGTATGCCCTGCATACAATGTGGGGCGAACCTTACTGTAGCTGGGCCTGGGGTCACCTCTAGGCGAAACACATGAACTAATGAATAAAACAATTGAAAATAAACAGAATTTTTGACTTGATTATTGGTTTTGTGACAAAAACTATAAAACACAAGGAAGAGAAAGAGATGAGACTGCAACAAAGGTGAACTGTTTATTTTTTGTGTCGTATCTGTCGGCGTCAGTGGTGTGAGTCACTATTTAGCTTTCTTTACATGAATTCTCAAAGAAGTTGACTACGTTACAGAAATTAATTTACATACGTGTTGTTTTGTTTCTACTTGTATCTAGTGTAAGGTGTGTGTCTCCTTTTGGGGCAGCCTATATCTAAGTAATGGGCTGGTATAGATGGAGGGATGAATGAACCACCCCCGGGGTGGAATATGAATGGTTAGAGTTGCTTGTACCTGTTATCTGATCTTTCTCGTTAAGTTTAAGATAGTTGAAATAACCGCGTTGTCGCTCCTTCCTGCCTATCGATCTGCACAAGGATGGTTACCTTACAAACCAAGACCGGTGCAGACGTGGGTGAAGTGGCATGACTGGGATGCTATTCCAATCATGGAGTGCAGACGGAGAGCGACAGATGGGAGTTATGAGTAAGCTGACGGGTCAGATAGTAACGCTCGCTAAGAGCGGTCCCAGTCTCGTCGGTTGGAGAAAGAGGGGGTGAGTTTAGGTGGTGGGCAGTCAACTACTTTAAGGCGTAGTCGTCCGAATCCAACACACCTGGGACACTCCTTCCCAGAGGTCTTTCGACGATTCTCACCTCTTAAACAAAAAAAGGTGCAAGGAATGTAGCACAGTTGATACAACTTTGACACCTCTTCATTGAATACGAAATTAACCGATTTATCAACAGACTACGTTAGCTAAATTATAAGACAGTAAAGGAAAGTTTAAAAACATTATAAGTATGAAACTGGAGAACTAAGGCAATATATCAAAAATGATGGAAATTGCTCATTGACTCGCTTTAAATCCAGAAAAAGTTGTAGAGTCATGGATAATAAACTATTTAACGCTTTCGTTCCAAAGTGTATTATTCCATAATACCATTTGCAATATGTGCTTCATGTTTCTGGGCTATATATATATATATAATATATATATATAATATATATATATATATATATATATATATATACAATAGCACTAAAGGCCTTAGAGGCCCATGGCTTAAAGAATTTTGTTCTTTCTTCATTTTCGCTTTCCTTTATGTACTGAGATCTTCTCTGGCTCGATATGTGACTTTTCTCCATTCCTTCTTGTTATTCATTTTTCTTTTCTGGCCGTCTAGTCCAATTTCTTCCATATCTTTTTCTACCTCCTGATTCCATCTATTTTTTGGCCTTCCTTTTCTCTTTTTTGAAGTTATATTGTAGTTTAGTACCCTTTTTGTAGTCCTCGTGTTTGGCATCCTTTCTAGGTGACCTCGCCATCTTAGTCTCTGTGCCTTTATGACTCCTATTATGTTAGGTTGATTATATAATTTCTTTAATTCATCATTTGATCTTCTTATCCATAAACCGTCCCTTATTATTCCTCCATATATCTTCCTCAAGATTTTCCTTTCCCATATCTCCAGTAGATTTTGTTCATTTTTTGTCATTGTCCACGTCTCACTGCAGTATGTTGCTATTGGTTGTATAGTTGTTTTGTATAACTGTATTTTTGCCTTTCTTGATAAAAACTTGCTTTTCAACATTCCACTAAGAGCATGTACACTTCTATTGGCTGCCATTATTCTAGCTTGTATTTCTTCTTTAATGTTAGGTTTACGTGATATTATTGTACCTAGGTATGTAAATCTTTCCACTATTTCGAATTCGTATGATAATCTTTCTTCTACTTCTACTTTAAACTTTTGTCCATCCCTAAACTGATCATCTGTCCACTGCATACATTTTGTTTTAGTTTCATTTATGTAAAGTCCCATTTTCTTTGCTGCTTTTACTATTCTCTGTACTATCTCCTGTAGCTCTTTTTTTCCTCTTGCCAGCAACACTATATCATCCGCAAATGCCAAAACTTGGTGTCTTTTATGATATAGGAGTCCTTCTCTATTAATTCTCGCTTCTCGCATTATTTTTTCTAGGCATAAATTGAAGAGTAATGATGACAAAGGATCGCCCTGCCTTAATCCTTCTTTTACTATAAATTTGTCCGATGCATGATTGTTAACTTTGACTCTGTTTTCTGTATTCTCTAAAGTAAGATGTATCATGTTACGCAACTTTCTGCTAACTCCCAGTTCCTCAAGGGTCTCTTTTAATTTCTTCCTTTTTATTCTGTCGTATGCTTGCTGGAAGTCGATGAATAGCGCTATCGTTGGTAAGTTGTGTTCATAGCTTTCTGCTTGTAACTCTCTTATTATGAATACTTGGTCCGTTGTGCTTCTCCCTCGTCTAAATCCACACTGGTATTCGCCTATTATATTTTCAGCTTCTTTTTCCAGCTTATCTTTTATCGATTTTGATAGGATTTTATATATGGTATTTAGTAACGCTACTCCTCTGTAATTACTGCATTCTGTTTTGTCTCCTTTTTTGTGTAATGGACAAATAATGGCTTCCTTCCAATCTTCTGGTATTCGTTCTTTTATCCATATCTCTTTTATGATCTTGCATATCCAATTATTTAGCAGTTTTCCACCATATTTCATCATCTCTGCTGTTATGTTATCACTTCCAGGGGATTTGTTGTTTTTCAGATTTTTTATGATTTCCTCGATTTGTTTTTTGCTGGGTGAATTATCTTCTATGTCGTCTATGTGTTCAATTCTTGCTTCTGCTTGCATATATTCTCTTTGGTTTGACTTATTATTGCCATTTAGTAATTCATCAAAATACTCTTTCCATCTTTCGACTATTTCTGCTTCCCCGCTTATATTATTTCCTGCTTTGTTTTTAACGAATATGGGTTTTTGTTGGAAACCTTTTTTTTCATTTCTAGCACCTTGATACAGGTTTTTTATTTTTTTATTTCTGTAATTCTCTTCTATTTCTTTTAGCTTAGTTTCTATGTGTTTTCTCTTCTTTTCTCTCAGCACCCTCTTTACTTTTTGTCTTTGCTCCCTATATCTATTCTTTGTCTCTATTGTTTCTTTCGTGATCATTTCCATCCTTAATGATTTTCTTAGTTCTATTTCTTTTTGGCACTCTATGTCGAACCAGTCTTTCATCTTTTTATTCTCTTGTTTATCACATTCTTTTGCTGCTTTGTTCATTATTTGCTTTATGTTTTCCCATTTGTTCTCAGTTTGCTCTTCTATTTGTATCTTTTTTAGTTCTCTTTCCATTGTTTCCTCGTATATTTCTTGCTCTTTTTTTGTTGCTAATCGAATTGGGTTATGTATACATTTCTTTTTATTTATTTTGTTTTTGTTTTCTGGTATCAGTTGCTTAATTTTGATACCCACCATGTAGTGATCTGAGTCAGCGTCTGGTCCTCTGTATGTTCTTATCTTCTTTATACATTGCTGTTCCTCTTTTTCGATGAGCACGTGGTCTATTTGGTTTTTAGTCTTTCTATCTGGCGATATCCATGTTTCCTTGTGTATTTCTTTTCTTTCGAAATATGTGCTCATTATGATCATATTTTTTTCTCTTGCGAAATCTATCAGGAATTGTCCGTTCTGGGCTATAGTACTTCTAAATACATAAAAATAGTGTTTTCTTATTTAAAAATATAATAGTAACTTTTATTCTAAGAGTAATAAAACATCATAATTACTTACCTCTATTGGAATATCAATAGGCTTTTCGGGAACAACTTCAACACTTTCTTGATTTTCAGGTTGAATTAAAGATTTAACTGCATTGTTTTCGACTTTTGGTGCGACCTAAAATAAAACAAATAAAGTTATAGTAATAACAGCAAGTGGGTCCGAATAGATCATATATTAATATAAGAATAAATTAGAAAATTGTTATAGATTATATAAATTGATTTTCATAGCCACATATTACTATATGGTTGCTGAAATCATAAAACAAAAAGTAAAAATACTAAAATAGTAAAGTAAACTATAAAAAGTAAGGAAGTAGGAACCAGCTTCGAATAAAAATAAAAACGAATGCGAGTGAATCGTTTGTTAATCAATATTGTAGAATGACGAAATAAAAAAATAAATAAAAATGCAACGGAGAATAAGGAAAAATAAAAGAAAAATGGCAGCAAATATTATGAAAAATATATCAACTGTTATTCTTATTAGAACATCTTATATATCTTTACATGCCATTTTTCAAAGTAAAACAGTTGCACGTCACGATTTATACAAAGTGACGTCACTTGTGTTTAAAATTTCCAGAACATCAACCTTGGAGTTCAAATTTTCCTAACACAGCTAATAATACGAAACTGCTCGATCTTTTATAGGCGTCAACTTGGTGTAATAATCAGAAAAATGTAATCGTCATTATATTAAAAATTTAGAATTATATTAATTAAATAACCAAAAACATTTGTTACTATTAATAATAATAATTATAGGAAATAACTCTTTAAGTCTAATATTCCACAAAATAATAATTTTAATTAAATATATTAGACAATTGTACACAACTGATTCTGAAATACTTTAAATTTTATTGACAGTTTAGTGTGTGACAAAAGTGTATAAACTGTTGAAGCTTTTTTATAATAGAAATTTTGTTTATGTTTTGATTTCTTACAAAATTTGATCATAATATAATATATATTAATAATTTGTATTTCTAAATACATATTAAATTTAGATTAATAGCTTTAAAAACTAATTATTGTTGTGTATTGTGATTGTGGTATGCCAAAAAAAATAGTCTGTAGAAAACTGATAAGCCTTCATATAAGATAGATTATTTTGAACAAGAAATATTGGCTGGAAGTTTTTACTATTAAGCCCTAAAAAAGGCAAGTTTAAAATTTAGAATATATAATTTTGTATTAAAATGTTTTCTTATGTAGTTTAATATGTTGCAGTGGTCTTAAAACTAAGTGTATTTACTGTTAATATAATAGTTTGACAAATATTATTTCAATGCTGTGGGGTTCTGAATGACGTAAATTTTGAATGACGTGCAAGGTGTTTTATATGAAAAATGCTATATATAAAAATCTCGTGTCACGATGTTTGGCCAAACAAATATTCAAAAGCCACTGAACCGAATGTAATAAAATTTTGTGAAAGTGTATTTGTTGGTCCAACTTGGAAATAGGTTATTTTTGATCTCGATGAATGGTCCTTATTTTTTTAATTGTAAATTCAAAATGTTTTATACGACCTCACCTTGATAGTATTAGTTTATTTGATTCGTTTGTTAAACGTCATTTTATGATATTTTATAGTGATAATAAAATTGTATAAAAAGAATAGTAGAAACAACGATTTTATTATCCCATACAAACATTATACCCTTATACAAAATGTTAAGACCTATACCTCTACTACAGTGGTAGTTCATTTAAACATAAAGTGACGTTTAACAAACGTCATGCCTACTTATTTACTTTTTTCGGTTCGTATAAACTCTAGAAAATATGCTGAAATTGTAAGGGAAATAGTAAAAGCAGTTTTATTTTCCCATACACACAGACATACTGATCCATACCATATATCATCAGGTAACAACTTCTATTAGTTGTATATAAGGTGTTTTAAAAAATGTGATTTTTACTCGAGAGTGAAATATTTTTATTTTTAACAGGATTATGTATGATTAGAATTAAAAATAATTTTAAAATGTTCAACTTTGTTTATTTACAGTAAAAACGATTTTTCAGCATTTTCTCTGCAATAAAGTTAAAAATAATAAGTTTAAGAATTAATTAAATACAATTTAATAATTATAAATTTAATGAAAGGATTTTAAATAAACTTAAATTTAAAATCTAATTGAGTATACTAAATTCATAAAAATTTTCATATTAATTTTTATCGTAATTTTAATATATTTTAATCGTAATTTATGATAATTTAGAGTTGTTGAGTTGCGCCAAATGTAGGCAACTTACAGTTGTTGATTGAGAAAATTGTTAGATTCTGGGCTAACAGTACATTCAGTACTCAAGCTGCCATTAGACGTTCATAGCAAACTAAATACTGGAATAAATGTAATATGGCTTATAAAGATTTACAAGATCATTACATAGAAGTATGCAAGATTTAAATGACAACTACAAACTCTTCGGTGATGAAACATGAAATAATTGCGTAGTAAGCGTCTTCCCAACTATACTAAATAATTACTTGAATCATAATTTGCTCATTGAGCGCGCAATTTTGGTGGCGAAAAATATTGAATATCATATCTCGGAAGCCCTCAAGAAGACATCAGGCAAGTATATATAAATATATATATATATATATATATAATATATATATATATATAATAATATATATATATATATATATAGATATACTTGCCTGATGTACTTGCATAACCAAAAGGATGATAACGGGAGGAGATAATACTGGGAGATACCCTTTTATAACTGAGGAAGCAAAATAAAACTAGGGTGCTTCGTTAGATGTGCTTTTTAATTAAAGGTCTAAGCTTTCGTCAATGATTATTGACATCATCAGAGTAAACTATAAATAAACGAGACAACAAACAATGAACAAGTAAGTGGAAACTAAGTATACAAATTTATAAAACACTTACCCTAATTCTAGCAAGTAACTCAGTGACTTAGGTGGAACACAAAGAAAGTATTGTCTATGTATATATTAAACATAGTTGCAGATACATAAGAAGTGGTATCTATAGTTTACAATGTGTTTTTTATTTAATTAATAACGATATATTTACTTTAAATCTAACCACAAACAATTGAAAAATTTACACGTAGTTTAAAACAATCTAAAAGTAATTAACAATTTTTTTTTATTTTTGTATATTTTAAAATTAAAATAGTTAAAAATCTAACCTATATCACTCATATATCTAGGCGACAATTTTTTTATACCTGAAATATTTTGTTTAAGCAGGAAGGTGTAGATTGAACTTAAACTATCCACATCCTTCTTGTGATTGATGGCATTTTTCGCATTATAAATGTAACACATCTCAAGTATTTTACGCTGAAAATCTCTATTAGATATATCCTATAATCCTTTTTTCATAATTTGACTACGACCAATACAAACCGAGATACAGCAAAAGGTTAGCTTTTTTCAGCAAATGCATGATTTGAAATATTCAATGCCAAATAATGAGAAACTTCGTTTTTCGGAGAAAACTATTGGAATCTTTTTTCAAGTATACAACTAGACCTTTCAAAAAAAAAGTCACTAGCATAAAAATTGAGCGACTTATGATCAATATAACGTCGATACCTACTTTTTTCTAAAAAAATTAGTGAAAACAACCTAACCTAACTACCCTCCTAATTAAAATTGATCTGTTCTCTTCTGTAGTTCTTTTTATATATTTATTATCAATACACCCGAGACGTTTGACTTATTTAAAAGGCATAATTTTGGAAAAATAAGAGTTTAAAGATAAATTGATTTTTTGCAATTTAATATTATTACCATTATCTTCAAAATATCTCCGAAAATACTGGAGATACGAAAAAATGATAAAGTAGTAAAATTGTAGGTTTTTTAATAACCAAAATTTCCCTGTACGTATATTTTCTTCATTTACAAGCAAACTCCCCCTTATTCGAGCCCTTTAAACTCAGCTCACTTATAAACTAAGGAATATTACGGAATTTACATAGTCTTATAGGTCTTTAAAAAAACGATTTTTTTCCTCGAAAAATTCGAATAACCTGCTTGTTAGTGTAATAGAGCATTTTTATGTATATAGTACCACATTTGTATTTGTATTTAAATTGCACTGTTATTAAAGGTGGTTTTTAAGACATCATTAACAATCATTATTTAGAGAACATCAATCTTATATTAAAAATAGAGAATTTGATAGATCTCAAATATGCAAACACGCATGGGATAATGAGCATAGGGTTCAATGGAATAATTCAAATATAGTCCTAAAAGAAACGGATGGTAAAAAAAGAAAAATCAAAGAAGCGGCTCTAATTATGCTAAATGAGGCCAATTGTGTCGCAATTGTGTCAATTGTGCCAATTGTGCCAATTGTGCCAATTGTGTCTGCCGAGGCAAATTCCTCGGCAGAATGTAGTAGGATCTGGTTACCAATATTGAAAGACGAAGTTATTAATAAGAAAATACCAGTATTAGTAAGTCAGTAACATATAGAGGATACATCATTTATGTTTTTTAAATAACGTAACATATAAAATCAGAATTTTTGATGTTTGTTGAAGGTAAACTAAATTCACGAACAAATACTTACAATGTCGGGATAGTATTATGAGGTTTTTTTCCTGGTTTTTCCCTCATAATTTACTATGGAATCACTAACAGGAGAATTTTACTGTCATCATGTCATGTGTTTGTCTTTTTAAAGACGAATTACATGCTATGATTTTTTCTGACGGATATTCTCAAGTTAAAGTTGATTTCATGTAATCGAATGAACTATCTTATAAGTAAAGTCATCCCAGGAGCGCAACTCAACAATATTGGCAATATCATTTTAAAGTCGTCTACTTTAAAATGCATAATGTATGTCTGAATTGTCAATATAAATGAGTCAGATAAAATTAAATTATTAGAAGAATTTTTTCACTATGTAACAAAAAACAAAATTTGTTTAATTTACTGTTTGTATTTTGAGAACGATTTCCGAATTGGAAATTGAAACGTCAATAAACGTATTTTTATCTTTAATTGTGGCTTATTCCCAGTTATAAATAGTAATTAATTTACAATGCCACAAGAAAATAGCTTCAGAACAATATTCAGAATTTATGTAGATAACGTTGTGGATAAAAGCTTTTTGTGATAAGTGAAACTTTTTTGAAAAAGTTGAGACCGTTTAAGTGAAACTTTTTAAATTTTTATAGCTAAATACATGTGATATTATCCCTATTATCAAAGTATCAGAAATTAAAGTTTTTTGTGCATTTTTAGAAAAAGTAATCATTATTTTCAAAAAATCGACTTTTGAAGCTATTTTTGCAATAATTAAATAACAAATTAACAAAAATATTTTTACAAACTCTCATTTAGAAGTTATAAAGAATTTTCCATGCTTTTTCAATAAAATTTATCTTTAGTATTTGTTTAATATATATATATATATATATATATATATATATATATATATATATATATAATATATATATATATATATAATATATAATATATATATATATTTGTCACCAAATTTATCAAAAGCAGTTATTAGATATCTGTATCAATGAATGTCGCGAAAAAGGCTTTTTATTTGCTAATTTCTCTGGCCTATAGGCAGTAATTCTCTGGCAGTAATTCACCATGTATTATGTGTTTATGTGCTTATCTATATACATAGAAATCATTTTATTTATAAATGATCATTATTTTAATAATTATCTATGGCAAATGAAGTCTCCAGCTTTAACCTTTTCGCTTAATATATGTATACAATCAAACAAAACAGTCTACAAGGCGAGAATACTTGCACTTAAGTAAATTAACTGATAGCAAAACCAAATACATTAAATATGGAATGTTTGAGAAAATTTTAAACAAACAAGAATAAAAAACCATTTAAGAAACCGATCAACTTTAAAAAAATAAATCAATCTATAATAATCTCCACAGAAGTTTTAATATATTTTAAACATGTATTTACCTGAACTTTTTCCTCGCTAACAATTTCCGGAACGAGATCAGAGTCAACTGGAATCGGTAAATGTTTCAGCACTTGAGGCAGTTCGTCTGAAGATAATTGCACCTTTGCATCTAAGTTCCGTCTTCCGTGCATAAGAACTTGCTCCCTCGATACAATTCCTGGAAGGATCTGGTCGTATCTCACTTCCACTGGAATATTTCTCTGGATAACATCTACGGGGATAGCGTTTAAACTGGGCACCAGAATCGCGTACAGAAGAAAAATAAGGTTTTTCATTTTTTTAGTTATTTAAGTCTATTATGTTAGCAATGAACCATGTAAAGACAGTTGAAGATACTTCTGCAAAGAGAATAAAACGACTAAAGCTGAGTGTATTCTTCAGGAGGATTTTATACGGAGATAATGGTTATGGTAGATTCTTGAGTTGGGTGACCCCGGTGAAGACACACATCAGTGTCGTAGAGATGAAAAATTTTTTAAACGATGTTTAACATCCATGTCAATTTTATTAGACATAATAATATAATTCTGACCAATCTGAATATTTATTTATATAGTAACAATGGTGCCTGTTTATAATGCAAAACACTACTGAGGATCCTAAAGCAATACATTTTTGATGATGATATTTACATAAAGTACAAAGTTATTTGGTTTTATTTAAAGTTTTTATTCTTATGACATACATACTGATATACTATTGTTCTGGAGCTATTTTCTTGTGGTATCACAATTAAAGTTTAAAATAAGTTTATTGACGTATCAATTTCCATTTTGGAAATCGTTCGCAAAATACAAACATTAATATATTAAACAAATTTTGTTTTTTATTCTTGGTGAAAAATTCTTCTAATAATTTAATTTTATCTGACTCACTTATATTGACAATTCAGACATATATTATACATTTTAAAGTAGACGACTTTAAAATGATATTGCCGATTTTGTTGAGTTGCGTTCCTGGGACGACTTTATTGTAAAATAGTTCATTCGATTATATGCCACGATGACAGTTAAATTCTGCTGTTAGTGATTCCATAGTAAATTAGGAGGAAAAAACCAGGAACAAAACCTCATAATACTATCCCGACATGGTAAGTATTTGGTCTTACATTGTGTTATGCATAAGTATAATATTTAAAAACATAAATGATGTTTCCGCGATGTTCCTGACTTACTAATAGTGATATTTTTTTTTATTAACCTTAGAAACCAGATTCTACTGCATTCGAGCATTTGCGACAAAATTGATCTCATTTAGCATAATTAGAGCTACTTCTTATACTTCTTTCTTTTTATCATCTATTTCTTTCAAGATTATACTTGAATCGCCCCATTGAACCCTATGTTCATTTTCCCATGCGTGTTTACATATATGAGATCTATCAAATTCTCTATTTTTTCTATGTTTCACCTAAATAAAAATGATCATATTTACAAGGAAAATAACAATACATAAAAGGATTATTAGAAAAATTTAGCCTTTCAACAACATTTAAAACAATAAACACATTGAGATATATTTTATCTAAAACTAAACTTAACAATGAACAAGATGAAATAAATAATTGTATTTATAAATTACCTATGATTTTTCTGACGTATATCCTCAAGTTAAAGTTGATTTCATGTAATCGAATGAACTATTTTACAATAAAATCGTCCCAGGAACGGAACTCAGCAATATTGGCAATATCCTTCTAAACTCGTCTACTTTAAAATGTAGAATATTGTCTAAATTATCAATATGAATGGGTCAGATAAAATTAAATTATTATTAGAATTTTTAAGCAGGAAACAAAAAATAAAATGTGTTTAATTTATTAAAGTTTTGTATTTTGGGAACGATTATTGAAGTGGAAATTGTAGCTTATTCCCAATAAAAATAGTAATTACTGATAAGTTAACAAATCGTCTTTTGGGTTTAGACCGTATCTTTTTGGGATGACCCGTGTCTGGGTCCACCTCGCTTTAGCTACCCTTATAGGTAGTGCCTTCAGGAGTAGGGGAAGGCAGTTGATTAAGGTAAATCAAGTAGGAACTCAACGTATCCAAACAAACATCGCCATCCAGCGTTGTGCGTCCAAAGTTGAACATAGGCCTTGCCTAATTTGTTCCAGTTCTGTCGGTCTTGAGATTTCTGCAGCCAATTACCAGTGATTCTTTTGACGTTGTCTGTCCATCGTGTAGGTCATCTACCTCTGCTTCTCCTGTCAGCTCGTGGTCTTCACAGTGTAATTTTTTGGGCCCACCATCCGTCATTCATTCTATCCATATGGTCCGTCCAGTTTCAGCCATGCTATGTGCTACGACATCTGTGACGCCTGTCCTTCTTCTTATTAGCAACCAACAGAAGAGAAATTATCTTAATGTTATTGAACTACTCAACGTATCCAGCTGCGAAACGTGAATCCGAAATTGGGAATACTGATTATACTGCTGTAAATGTTACAGTCAGTTTATATTCTCTACAAGAAAATTAAAATATGAAATGAGAAAACAAAGAAATTTATCTTACTAGAACGGCGTAAAAAGACAAAATAACAAGACTTGAGCTTTGTTACTGTAAGTTTAAATAGGTTAACGGAACTATATTTTTGCTCCTTTATAACAGACACAAACAAAAATCAGACACTTTACGGAGAAAACTTAAAAATTTTTAAAGTGTTGAAACAAAGCTTTACTTTTTTAAATTGCTAGCATCAAAATTGAGGAAGTTAAGCTCAAAATAAAATTGGCCCCTCATTTTTTGGTAAAAAAAAAATTTTGGCAATTTAAAAGAAATAGCTTAAAAAGTATTAGTGATTATTCTTAACGAGTAAAAAAATATAGGTTTTGCTTTTCTGAACTATCTGGTTTGTTTTTCTGTAAGACTAAAAATTAGTTAAGGTATAGCTGTTCAAAGTGTGCATACACTCGTGATTAGTGACTCGTTTATGTCGTTTTACCTACAACCTTTTCAAAAACAATTGTTTTAAAAAATTTCATTTAATTATTTTATTGCCCTTAAAACAACCTAAAATATGTTAATCTTAAGTACTACATAGCTTAAAATCTAACCTAGTTATGAGTAAAAAAATCACATTTTAATTCCTGGAGCATTGTAAGATACACATAATGTATCATTGTAATAAATAAAATAAATTCATAATATATGATTTTTTTTCTAATAGCGGTCGTTTTCATCCCTAAAAAATGAAAAGCAACCAACAGCACAAGTCCAATTTTTAAGTGGAGGGTAAGTAGAACCTAAATCCAAATATTGTTATGCAATTCGCAGGTGATACGAAAAATGACACGGTATCGACGTATTTCACATTCATAAACTGACGTATATCCTATACCTTGTATTTTATTAGAATATGTCTTGCAAATTTTACGTACCGATTTTAATGAATATTATAATGATGAATACTAATACGTGGCAACCCTTAGCCGCCTCTGCTATGCTATTTCCATTTTTTTTTTTTTTTCAGTAAAACGAATGCAAATGCGGTTTTAATTTTAATTTGAATTAAGCTTTAACCCATAGACATATAATACAAATAGTCTGACCCCTGAAATACAGTCATGTTCTCCCAGTACGACAGAAAAAACTGATGCAAAGTAGTCCCTGTATTTCTGTGACCTTCTCATTGGTCATTGTGGTCGATAAACCTGGCAAATTAGAAAGAGATACAGGGACTTTGCGTCAGTTTTCTCTGTTGCACTGGAGGAACGCAACTGTATTGCACCAGTCCGTCTATTTGTATTATGTGTTTATGGGTATATCTAACACTCTGTACGTAAAGTTAGTGTATGTACTATGTGCTTAGTATCCGTGTAAAAAGTTGTGTACTTGTACTAATATGATGTCATCACAATTAAATGTTGATTTAAAACGTCCTCTCGCTGAAAAATAATTGAAGAATATTATAAATAAAAGTTATTTAGTTGTAACAGAAGATGATCTAGAGGACTTAGAAAAGCCATTTAACAGCGATGATACTATTGAATATAGAGACTACGATCCTGTACAAGACGAAGAAGATCTCTAAAATTTGCTAATACCTACACAGTTACAACAGCAGAAACTCGTAAAGACATACGTGCTCTCGTAAAATTACGTAAAAACCATCTTCATAATCGACATCAACTGACAACCCTACCGAACCATAAATTTATGTGATGATATCGGATACCTTCTTTCGTACATAAAAACGGTTATAAATGGAGTACTTTAGGCATCTAAAAATACTGTTTATATTCAACCAGGTACAACCAATTCAGCCAAAGATGCCATAGAGCTTATAGATACTTTTAATTTCTTTTTCTGGTTAGTTTCTGGACGAAGTTTTACTACGTAAAAATTAAAATCAGCAAAGATGCCAAGCTATGATACTTTTAATTCTTTTCTGTTATTTCTGACGAAGTTTACTACGTAAAAATTAAAAAATTGCCAAATTACGCGCGAGATTACGGCTATAAATGCTACTGTTTTAGATACGACATTGCCTCAACTCAAAGCGCTGTTAAGTTTGTTATTTTTATCTGCGGCTTTAAAAAATAATCACCTCTTAGCTGATATTTTTTTGACGGAATTTATTTTGGCGATAGATATAAAGCAATCATGAGGAAAGAAAGAAAACTTATAAATAAATACTTTACGATTTAATAACTTCGTGACAACAAAAAAAAACGTATAAAGAAAAAAATAGTTGTGCTCCAGTGTATAAAATTTATAACTTGTTTGTTAAAAACTGTGTAAAAAATCACTAGTTCATATGTTACTGTCGACGAACAGTTCCTAGGATTTCGTGGCATGTTGCATTTCGCATATATACTTAACAAACCTAGTAAATGCGGCATAAAAATACTTATGGATTGCGATGTGTCTACGAAATATGTAATAAAGGCACGCTATGTCTTCGTAAATTTACTTGAACCATGGACGTATAAACACAGAACTTGAACCAACTGTATTCCCCGAACAGAACATTATGTTACAAATCCGACGAAACCTTTACACGGAAGTAGATATAATGTGACAACGAACAACTAGTTTTCTAACATCTCTCTTGCGAACAAATTATTATCTCCCTTTTACAGTTTGACATTGGCAGAAACACTCCGAAAGAATAAAGGAGAGGAATCTCCTATATTACTGGATAACAAAGCCTGGCAGTGCGATTCCAGTATGTTTGTGTACGACGAAAACGAGTTTATTACCTTAAACCTAAGCAAAACAAGAGAGTTCTTCTGCTTTTAACTGTGCATTGATTTGGAAACATCAATCA